CCCCTAAACATAGTGATACCATGTTTTATCGACACCCTTAAAAATACTGACATACCACACCCCTAAACATAGTGATACTATGTTTTATCCACACCCTTAAACATACTGACACACCCCACCCCTAAACATAGTAATACCATGTTTTATCCCCACCCCTAAACATATTAACAGACACACCACCCATACCAATAAAACTATTACACAAGTCCCAAAACATATCGATATTATACCCCATTTATTCCCAAGTAAATGTAATAATACTAATATACCACACTATACAGGCTTTAGGTAACACAGTCACACCAAAAATCATTCAAACCATCAATCAAAAAAAAAGAAAAAAATCAAAGATTGATTACATGTACTATACACTGTACCTAGAATCTGATTGTAAATGTCACTCATCAGTGTACAGGGATACAATAATCTACAATAACCATGCAGTCACACAAACACTACAGTGTACGTCCATGTATAAATAACGTTTTAAAATAGGGTCTTTGATGGGGCACGGGTATGTCAATTATGTGTTTGTTCCTGATGGGTTTAGAGCAATTTAGCACACCAAGGAAATTCATTTCCTGGTTTTATTCTAAAAAAAAAAAACATATATAAATGTTCTTAAAGACCTGGAAATAAATGTCAGGCAATTAAAGGTTTTATACCTACTGTAAATCTGTGCCTGACAATGTCTATGAGAGAGAACGAGAGAGAACGAGAGAGAGAGAGGGTTTAATGTCCACTTGACACAAACTAGGTCATTTCGGGACTAACATACATGTATGGTTCAATTTTATTCAATAATTTGTTTGCACATAGGGGTCTTTAGCAGTGAGAGGAAAGCGGAGGACCCGGAGAAAACCAACATGGTTGGACAGGCAACCCTACTCCTTGTCACGTACAACCGGGGAATCGAAACCACGTCAGTTGACTAAATGACAGATCTCATGATACAACATGCACGTGCAAACCATTCCGCCATCCACCCCCCCCCCCCCACCCCCCTGACAATGTCTATGACAGGTGCTTTACTTCCAGGCTTGTGTATTTACTGCTTGGATCTATATATTACAACTCCGCCCACCCCCTCCCCACACACCATGCATAAATTATCAACATTATACACTGTAACCTGGGTATCATTTAATGTTGTGTAATTAGCACTATTTTCTTTCACATTCATTCAATATCAAATCTTTGATTAAAAATTCATAAAAATCATTTAAAATCACCCAAAACCATCCAATTTGTATTCTTTATGTGACATTTAGTAACTGGCAGATAAATAAACTATAAACATACTTATGGAAAACAGCTACTGATTTATTTACTTGTGTCCAGTTTAAAGCTCAAGGATTATAATAATTATGATAATGAGTGTCCAATTTTGGGTTGTTTATTTTTTTTAACAGTGATTGAGAACACTCGTTATCAAAATCAATTGGACAGCTTTAGACTCTGTGATTTTAAATGATTTTTACGAATTTTGAAACAAACATTTGATATTAAACGAATGTGAAGAAATCAATGCTAGATACACAAGATTAAATGATACCTGAGTAACAGGTGATAACAGACAGGTGATTAAAGGGTTAATGTTATATATACACAGGATTATTTATTTATATTATTACTACCTGTATACGATATACATGTCTGTCAATATGATTAATAAATTATCAGTATTTTACATGCGTCAATGAAATCCATCACTTTGTTTTTAGGTTATTAGATATGTTTACATGATGTCTATCGTAGATTTCAAGGTTAATTAATGTCATCTATTACGCTATTATCAATATGGATAATTTAATATCATTTTTTTACCAATCTGATTAAAACACAGATCTATATTTCGTTTCATTTTTTATACTTTCGTTGGCCTACACTACATGAAGATCTGACCAGTTGTTTTGTGGGGGGGTTCACTTCAGAGGTCATATGAGCGGCTTTTGACCCTATGACATCAGATATTTGATTAACCCATCAACATTGATGTTACTAGTGGATTACCAACAGTTCCGTGCAGCTCATGCCAAAAACTCGCCGTAACAGACCGTTTCATTGGCTAATCCCTCACATCATCCAGAACACATCAATGATAACAACTCTTCCAGATCCTAGTGTTGTAAAGACAAGTAAAACAAAATTTTGAACTATAACAAATGAAACGAAATGAAATGAAATGGGGTTTAACATCCTACAGTTTTGCCCCATAAACTGGTCTAATGAAGACGGGCATACGCCATACAGTGTGCTATGAGGGAAATTTTGCCCGGGCAGCAGCGCTATGGCCTACTCATATATCGAATTTCAACTCCCAGGGGATATTTTACGTGCACGCCAATTTGTACACGGGACCTAGGTTTTTCGTCCCATCCGAATGACTAGACAGCGGTCTTTGCCAGGCCCTCCGTCCTGCATCACTGACAAGGGGGAAACCATGCCGGAAAATCTGGATGAACTTTCTCGGCCAATGCATGGATTGCAAACAAAACGAAATAGGATCTGTGTTTTAATCAGATTGTACATTGTCAATATGGGTATTATTTACATTTACTATCATTATTTAACATGCTCTATTATATCCATCCCTTTGTTTAATTAATTAATATCATTTACATGTATTACACAGATGTAGATATGAAATGAAATGAAATGGGGTTTAATATCCTACTTTTCTGCCCCTACTGAGCTAATGAGGGAAAATTTGCCCAGACAGTGGCGTCACAGCCTAGTGTTATTTCGAATTCTAATTCTACTGGGTTCCGTTATGTGCACGCCAACCTTTACACAGAACCATGTTGGGTTTTTTGTCTCATCAAAACGACTAGACATTGTCCTTGTCGGGGCGTCCGTTCTGGCTACTGACAAGGTCACAGGGAAACCATGCTGGAAAATTCCGGAGAACATAGATACACTATTGTCTACAGCCTCCAGTAAGCATTAGAGACACTGTGTTATAATATTAGGCCTATGCATAATTTTCTAATAAATACGAGAGTTATCTTCCCAGAAACGCTGCACATTAATAAAATCAGGAACTGTGTATCCATAAAATTATATGCTGTATAACAAGAGCGAGAGAAATGGGGTTTAATGTCCACTCGACACAAACTAGGTCATTTCGGGACTAACATAAGGTCCAATTTCATTTCAATAATTCACTTGCGCTTAGGGGTCTTTAGCAGTGGGAGGAAACCGGAATCAAGATCACGCCAGTTGACTCAATGACAGACCTTATGATACAATGTGCACGTGCTAACCATCCGGCCATCCAACCTCTCTTTGCTGTATAATGCCTATTCAAGAAGATATCGTTATAACTACTGTAGTAAGAGGATAAATAAATAATGCGTTTGATAAAGATGAGCGTATCCTCGTCAAAATGTTGCATATTAATAAATTCAATATTTTAATAATGCATCAGGATAAATTAATCACTTTCTAAATTTCTAAAAAAAACCAAAAAAACTATCAAAACTTTATACAAAATACTCTAAATGATGTTTAATTAATACACTATTTCACACACTACTACTAAACTGAATAAACAAAAATAGAACACATCATTAATCATAAAAGTTTCCTATGTAATAATCCATAAAATAACTAAATTAGTTTAATTAACTATTGAACAAATTCATCTCAATTAAATTATGCTACAATTACACGGTAAATAATCATCTACTTCTATTTAATTAATTGTATTCACTATAATGAATTTATGGTCGTAAAATCATAAAATAATCAATAAAAAAATTTTTCATTAATTAGTTAAGTTACATTTATAATTTTCTTTTATTAAATGGTTGTATCGACTATAATCAATGTATGGTCATTCAATTATAAAATAATAAATCATAATTTTCTTTCATAAATTAGATAAATTATATTTATAATTTTCTTTTATTAATTGCTTGTATCAACTATAATCAATGTACATGTATGGTCATACAATCAAAAAATAATAAATTTTAATTTTTTTTTAATTAATTAGTTAAATTACATTTATAATTTTCTTTTATTAAATCGTTGTATCGACTATAATCAATGTATGGTCATACAATTATAAAATAATAAATGATAATGGTCTTTCATAAATTAGTTATATCATAATCTGCTTTCATTTATTTGTTAAATGATAATCTGATAATCTACTGACTATAATTAATGCAAGATCAGTTATAAAATAATAAATTCTAATTTAAATTAGTTGTTGACTATGATGAATGTACATGTATGATCATTCATTTATAAAATAATAATTAATGATCTTTTTTTTCTTCATTAAATTAGTTGGATTGTCTATAATTAATGTAAGATCATACAATTAATGATTATCTTTTTTTTCTTCATTAATTAGATAAATCATAATCTTTCATTAATCAATTAATTAGTTGTTGATACAATCATAAAATAATAAATGATCTTTTGTCATTAATTAGTTATAGTGGCTATAATAGATTATAATGAATGTACTGTTGTATGATGAGCATACAATTATAAAAGAATAAATTATAATAATCTTTTTCCATTAATTAGTTGTATCGGCTAATGGGAGTATAATGAATAATGTATGATCATCATTAATCATAACATAATAAATTATAATTATCTTTTATCATTAAATATTTGTATCATTGGCTAATATTGAGTATAATGAATCAATTATAAAATAATAAATTAAAATAACTCTATTTCATTTAATTAATTGTTGACTATAATGTATAATCATACAATTAAAAATAATCAATTATAATCTTATTTCATTAAATTATTTGTATTGGCTGAATGTATGATTATCATACAATGATAAAATAATGAATTATAATAATCTGTTTTGATTAAATTATTTGTATTGACTATACATTTATAAATATGAATAGATGAGATCTGTTTAAAGGATAAATGGATGTTAAAGATGATGAAAATTAGGGATTAAAAAGGTTGAAAATCCCATGCTCAATTCTATGTTAAGAGATTTTATTTTTTCTCACCAAGGTCGAAGTTTTGTAATAAATCGAACAGTGTTGAAAAACTTCCTCAGTCGTTTGAGAGCTGAACTGGATCTGAAAAGTCATTGAAGCAATCACAGATCGATACATTTTAAAATCATTAAAAATAACATAAAGACCATGTTTGTCAAGCTTGACTGACATGTAGCAAAATTGACTAGATGCAGAAGTTATCATCCGTTAGACAATTTACATGCCATAAAATTGGAATTTCAATGAATTCAAAGGGGAATTATGGGAGATTAGATAAAGAGTTGACAGTTCTCGCTATAATAGTTCAAAAATAGATAATGTCATAAATGGGATATGCTGAAGAATTTAGTCAAATTGCTCCACTCTGAACCGAGATATTAGCTTTTGAATTTTAGGCTAGCCTCGATCATCATTACTCAAGTCAGTACAATAAAAAAAACATAGTCTAGATTATCCAGTTTTACATTTAATTAGCTTTAAAAAATGCATTCCAATCTACTAAATACAGCAGGCTAGTGATGGCACGAGTGTTGATTATGGTCTGGATAAGTTAATTAATGTCTAATTAATAATTTATATAACATTTAAGGTCTAAAGAAAGACCTGCAATAGGCAGATTTATCTCTTGCATAATGTATGTTTAAGAGAAGAAATAGGAATATTGACTACATGGTGAATATTCAGGCTAGCGAGCAAGCATCTTACTCACTGAGCTATCACAGCTCTCTAGTGTTTAAACACTATTCCACTCAACACAAACTAGGTCATTTTGGGACTAACATATAGTTCAATTTTATTTCAATAATTCGTTTGCGCATGGGGGTCTTTAGCAGCACGAAAGACAAGCAAAGCTGTTAATGACATTTCATTACTCTCTCTCTTTGGTCTGGAAACATTGAAAGTACTGTTATGCCTGTTCATATTTCATAAGGAAAGTAACAAAAATAATAAGAAGAAACCCAATCTGAAAGGAAAATTATTAAATAAAAGATTTTTTTGTCTTAAAAGTAATCATTATCAGAAATCTCAAAATCAATAAAGCTCAAACTAGTAATTAAAACATGCAATGTGCAGAACATGATGCTATTATGATTAGAAATGATATGGGTTTTAACATCCTACATTTCTGCCCACACTTGGCTAATGAAGCCGTGCTATATCAAGATATTTAATAAAATGTAAATAATTTCAGTTTATCAACTTTTAAATGTAAATAAACATGTTTAAAAAGTTGGAAATGCCCCCCGGAGTATTCACTTGACATTTTCTAGTCAATATTATTAAATGTTTTTAGCAAAAATACAGTAACAAATTTACTGCACACACCAGGCTAATGATGCCAAGTTGTATTGCGATATTTAATAAAATGTAAATAATTTAAGTTTATCAACTTTTAAAACATGTTTAAAAAGTTGGAAATACCCCCCGGACTATTCACTTGACACTTTCTAGTCAATATTATTAAATGTTTTTAGCAAAAATACAGTAACAAATTTACAAACAAAATTTAATGATCTATATAGCCATGAAGATCTGCTAACAATGTCGGTTTCTACATGTATGTTGTTTGTTGTTTATTACAATTATTACATTAAAACATCATTCATAGGACCCAAATGGTTATTCATTTATCAAGATGTGGAAAAACTAATAATCAGATTGCTTTGGCCTGAGAGGAATGAATCTATGCCCTTTTTATTCATTGAGATGTGGAAAAACTAATAATCAAATTGCTTTGGCCTGAGAGGAATGTATCTAAGACCTTTTTATTCATTGATGATAAGAGATATAGCCTTTCTCATTTACTCTGACCATTGTGTCGTCTGCTCAAGTACTATCAAAATACGTCTGCCAACAACACTACCAAAAAGGACACATTTACTTGTGTATTTACAAACAAAAGCCTAAAATCTCAGCACAATACGTGATCGAAACAATCGATGGATTATTGTATTTACTGTTGTGATGGCGATGTGAAGGGCGAGTTTGTGTTTTACGCATACTATCATGTAGACTGAGCTTGATTGTTTGATTAAACTACATGTTGACGGATGTTGACAAGCTCGAGTTAAAGAGTTTCTCTCACTGACTTATATCATACAATATACTTCTGCATGTAGACGTCTGCTCCTCCAAGAGAAATGGGGCTTAACGCTCAATCGATACAAACTAACACTGTAACCCAAGTATCATTTAATCTTGTGTATCTAGCACTAATTTGTATTAAATTGTGTATGATATTAAGTACACTGTAACCCAGGTATCATTTAATCTTGTGTATCTAGCACTAATTTGTATTTAATTGTGTATGATATTAAGTACACTGTAACCCAGGTATCATTTAATCTTGTGTATCTAATTGTGTATGATATTAAGTACACTGTAACCCAGGTATCATTTAATCTTGTGTATATAGCACTAATTTGTATTAAATTGTGTATGATATTAAGTACACTGTAACCTGGGTATCATTTAATCTTCTGTATCTAAAACTAATTTCTTTCACATTCGTTTAATATCAAATCTCTGTTTAAAAAATCGTAAAAATCATTTTAAATTACCCCAAATCATCTAATTTGTACTTGTGTCCAATTTAAAGCTGACTGATTAATTTTGATAATGAGTGTCCAATTTACAAGTATTTAATTTCCTGACCACTGTTCAAATATTAATCATTATATACATTAATAATCAATTGGGTTGTTTATCTTTTAACAGTAACAGTGATCTAGAATTTAAACAGAAGCAGAGAGAGAGAGAGCGAGAGAGATTAACTCCACTGAACACAAACAAGGTCATTTCGGGACTAACATATGGTTCAATTTTATTTCAATAATTCGCTTGCGCGTATGGGGGGTTAGCAGCGGGAGGAAACCGGAGAACCCGTAGAAAACCCACAAAGTTGGACAGGCAACCCTATTGCATGTCACGTACAACCGGGGAATCAAAACCCCACCAGTTGACTCAATAACAGACCTTATGATACAATGCACCTGTGCTAACCATTCGGCCATCCAGATTCAATATAACATGTAATGTCATATTTCAAAGTACCGTATCCATTTCAACCATTAACATTATCAACATCAAGATACATGTATAGTGGAGATTATACATAATTAAAATTCATCTCATATTTCTCATATAGGTCATTGCTGTTCAATAGAAATGAAAGAAAAGGAGTCACTTTGAAACTAACCTAGAAATGTGATGCAGCGATGAGGGGTTTCATATTTCTGATATAGGTCTATCTTGAATTCTCATTTTTACTTGCGATTTTAACATTTTCATTGGTGTTCAATGGAAATGAAAGGAATTGAGTCAATTTGATGCAGCGATGAGGGGTTTCACTGGTGCTACATTACCCTTGAACTGTATCCACTATTTGTACACAAGTACCCAGTCGTCTCAGTGTACATATAACAAATAGAATGGTGATTACTGTCCTACTGTTCTGCATAAGCCATACAGCGTGCTATGATGAGGGATATTTTTCCTGGACAGCGGCATTAAGGTTCACTCTATTTTCAATTCCAACTATCAAGGGTTCTTTTACGTGAATATGGGATCTCAGATTTTCTATCTTGAGACTAACATGTAATGTACAGTTAATTCTATCTTATTCTATGCCACATGCGTATTGCCACATGTGTATTGCTAGAGAGGGGAATTTGAATTTTGTCTGAAGAGCAGCCTACTCTTTCACAGAACTGTCAAAGGTTCTGTTCTGTACAAGCTGGGGGTCAAGGTGGCTAAGTGGGTAGACACTGGCTCGCTAGCCTGGAGGTCGGGTGTTCGATCCCTGCATTGGCCGAGATAGTTTATCCAGATTTCCGGCGTGGTTCCCCCGTCAGTGATGCAGGACAAGGACAAGGACAGCTGTCTAGTCGTTCGGATGGAACGATAAACCGAGGTCCCATCTACACATTGGCATGCACGTAAAAGCAGAACAGTAGGACGTTAAACCCCATTTCATTTCATTTCTGTACAAGCCAGTGCACAGGTGGACTAGTCTCATCTGAACGCCTAGTCTAAACTTTCCTTTTATTTAACGTTTAGTTTCAGGCCATTGTTGGAAAACTGACATGTTCCTGAAGCAACGACTGCGAGTTTCACAACATCTGGCCGTTGCTTGTTTACTTCACAATTCCCGAACTTATAGCTATGTTATCTACAGACACGTGAGCAGTAGCGTCCAATCAGAGGTTGTGACATCGCGACCTCCGCGGAAACCTTGACATTGAATGACCCTTGAACTTTGCAACCCAATTATCACAGGTAGACATTTTAGCTTGAAAGCGCGAGACTTGGTATTCACGACGATCGAGGAATCTGATAGGCTCACAAGTTGGGCTTGTACCTATTCGAAATTAGTGCTGCAATATGCAGGGTATTACGTGAAGGCCTTGATAAGATGTACGTAGTTAAAGCGCGATCAAGCCTTCTATTGAAGATGGAAAACTGATCAAATCTGTTGAAAATCATAGACAGCCATTGGGTTTCTACTGTTGTGTAGTTTAAAGGGTCTGTTTAGATAATGAGTATTGGGTTTATAACTGTTTAGTTTCTCAAAAGGTGTTGAGTAATTAACATACTAATTAATTACTCAACACTGCTCTAGAAATTAAACAGTTATAAACCAACACTGTACATGTACAGGTGGAAGTGGATGTACATATCACTCTGCTATAATATCATTCAGGAAACTAATTGTTACTGTGACCATTAATATTTACATGTACCAAGTGTTCATGTCATGATTTATTTTCCTGCATGTAATTAAACAGACAATTTTTAAGTATAAACCATTCATAAAAACTAATAAATGTGATTAATTTATTAAGCGGGGCTTATGTCGACTTTGCAACCCAAAGCAACTAGTTGCAGTCAGTTGCAAGAGTGCTTATTTCGATCATATCAGCAACTGAGGACAACTGGGAGCAACTGAATTCGAAGCGCTTATGTCGACTGGAACTGATAGCGATCACACTAAACACATGACTGTTAATTTATTCATCACGTGATCAACAAAATGGCGAATTACTTAGAAGAAGCAACCCAAACGCATGGTCGGTCTTGCTACAATTCTATTAGTATATTATTGTCGACATCATCAAAACTTGAAAAGTGTGAGTCTTCGTTCGCTTCCATTTGCTTATTTATAAAGTCACATGACACGTGTCTCGTATCACATGATGTTATTTCTATGGAAATGAGTTGACTCCAGTTGCAAGAACGCTCATGTCGACTGCAGCTAGTTGCCGCTAGTTGCAGCCAGTTGCAACTGACTGCAACTAGTTAATTTGAGTTGTAAGAGGCGCTCAGGTCGACTTTTTTCAGTTGCATTCAGTTGCTTCCAGTTGCCGAAATGCCAGTTGCTTTCAGTTGCAAGGTTGACATAAGACCCCCTTTAGTTTTTATGAATCGCTTATAAAAAAAACAACACAATTTTTAACTATAAATTATAGTTAAAAATTGTGTTGGTATTTTTTTTTAATATATATACTGATAGCAGTTTTATATATATATATATATATATATATATATATATATATATATATATATATATATATATATATATATAAACTTTTAAACTGCTTTGAGTATGCTTAGGAATAGATTTGGTGCTCAATACATGTAAATAGGCATTATTATTATTACCGGTATTAAAAATTAATTTAGTTGAATACCTAATCTATGGAGGCCAAGTTTACCTACGTCACAACCAACATTATCAATAACACTATTATTGTACATGATCAAGCTAGGAAGGTCAACTTCACCGGGCCCCGAGTTCACAAAGCATTCTCAGACTTAAGAATTTACTCAACTTTCAATCACTGTTTATGAGAAATATCTTTTAACTAGAAACTTTGCACATAAGTTTCTAATTGATGTATTTGATACATTAAAACAACAAACGTTTTATAAAAGACTATATTTTAGTTAAAATAAGACGAACAATTCTGAGTAAATTAACTTTAGTCTGACAATGCTTTGTGAACTCGGGGCCAGTAGACGTATTTCATAATACATTAGAATTTATTGTATATGATTTGAATGCACTAAGGTAGCCTAACTTGTTGTGAGTGACTAAATGTATAGATAGTCTAGCTTTGTTTGGAACTGTTAAAAGTAACACACGAGTGGTCAAATAAAATATATTTATAACAACACAAGAGAGAGGGCAATTGGTAAATAAATAAAACTTGTTATTGCCAACTTAAACAGAAACACAGATCGATCTAGATCTTATAGATCTACAATTTCTGACTCAGTTTTTTATTTTACACATTTTACAAAGAGAGAGAGAGAGAGGTCATTTGAGGACTAACATATGGCTTAATTTTATTTCAATAATTTGCTTGGGCCTAGGAGTCTTTAGCAGTGGGAGGACCCAGATTAAACCTACGAGTTTGGACAGGCGACCCTATCCTGGTCACGTACAACCGGGGAATCGAAACCACACTAGTTGACTCAATGACAGACCTTATGATACAGTGCGCACAAGCCGATTCGACCATCTAACCCTCCATTTTACAAAGAACACAAAGAATCCTCGGTCTGGTGTAAACCGTGTTGCAAACCAATGACTATACTGCTTTCCCACCAAAATGGTCCAGGTCTGTCGGGGAGAACACGGGTAAATGCCTAATGACGATAATGTGTGACCTAGGTTGAAGGCTTACAATCAGGGCTGCCGACAACCAGTATCGCAGCGCAATTTGCGATACATATTTTGTCTGTTGCTATTCAAAAATTAAAATCTAACGTTTTTGGATTCGCAGTAACTGCGAATCATTAATATGCCTGTCTTTTTGGATACTGACACAAAGATTTATCCACATTTCTCAACACTTTCAAGTGTATAAAATATCAAATAAATTTTATAAACAAAACAGAATTCTCCGTGTGACATTTTCTTCTCGAACTACCCAGACTCAATTCATTATACTATATAATACAGGGACATAACTCTATGAATCGGGACTATTAAACTGGAAATAGGGAAGCCGGTCTGTTAGGGGCTGGCGGCTACACTAGGTCTGCCCCGAGTCTGAAATTTGGGGTATAGGGGTAGCTCGGACAGGGGAGTAACATAGGCCAGGTGGCGTTAGTCTACCACTTCAGGTTTCGGAGTTATGACCCCCGAGCGAAGCCGGGTATCCTGCTAGTAAAATATAAAAAATAAATACGTGTAAACGTATTGTAAAATGAGAAATCAAAGTAAGAATTCCCGTAAACTATTATTGTTTATATCGCGTGCATCTAGTTTATTGAGATTATTCGTAAAATACCGCATGCTTCCGACTGAATAAAAATAATAACACACGATAAAAAGCAGACGAAATTGTTTTCTAACGAAGAAATAAGAAGCCACTGCCAAGAATTGGCTTCAGACATAAGGCCTAACCAAAAGTCTACATTCATTCAGAAATGTTCACAGCTACCTGTAGAAGTGCTAAAATTCTAAAAAATCTTAAGAATGAAATCTAATCATTTATCAATTAAAATTAAAATAATCTTGTTATTTAGGTGTTTTATGTTGAAACTGAAAAACTGCTAATCAATTTTTAAATTTGCTAATCAAATTTGGCAAAATTGGACTTTTTGATTAGCAGTGCTGCTAATCATCTGTGAAAAATTACCGACAGCCCTGCTTACAATATAAGCAATTCAAACAGTTACATTATGAAAAACACAATCATTCAGCACTTACATTACAACACCTATTTTTTTTATTGAACACGCACACCTTCAACCATTCAGCCACCCAGCCCCGCAAATTAGTAACAGTGCCAGCGTTTGTAATCTATTTATAACATATTGTAGTATTATTCACAGTGCAACAAGCTATACATTTACTACAATGGTCCTGATAGTCATTTTTCCCACAATGGGCTCGGTAGTGGTATTCATTTTTTACTACAATGGGCCTGGTACTGGTAGTCATTTTTACCACAATGGGCCTGGTAGTCATTTTTACTACAACGGGCCTGGAAGTTATTTTTACCACAAAGGGCCTGATAGTCATTTCTAGCACAATGAGCCTGGTAGTCATTTCTACCACAGTGGGCCTGGTTGTCATTTCTAGCACAATGGGCCTGGCAGTCATTTCTATCACAATGGGCCTGGTGGTCATTTTTACAGGATTTTCAGTAACACAAGGATAATTTTTAGTAATATTTATTGTGAATATTTGAAGCACTAACATCATTCAATCAACCAACAATACAACTGCTATTATATTACACATTTACATTTTACATTCACAGTGGCACAGACAGAAAGGAGGCGGGAGAAGAGTTCAGTTCGCGACCTGTATCTACATGTACATGTACTCACTCCCCATTTTCTGGAATGGTGACACACAGTTCACACACATATTATTAGTATGAAGTGGGGATGGGGAGTGTTGGGGGAAGGGGGTTTGTATCTTTATCAGTTCCTGATTTTCCATGGTTGTGGCACACCTAGTAGAGTGTGAGGGGACGGGGAGACTCCCTCTGACTATGCTACTAAATGTAGTATGGACAACAATATTTAAACTAACTACATGTATGGTTCAATTTAGACAATACTTCCATTACTATAAGACATAGTTTGGACAGTATCATATCATACAAAAAATGGCCTAGGTCATTTCAGTGGGGGTATCGAAAACCATGCCACTTGACTCAATAGCAGACCTTATGATTTCACTGCAACCATTAAATCACTAGACCCCCCATCCCCTTTTACTAGATCTCTAAACCCCTTCACCCACTAGACACCCCCCACTAGATCTTGGCTCGCTAGCCTGGAGGTCGGTGTTCAAACCCTGCATTGGCCAAGAAAATTTATCCAGATTTTCCGGCGTGGTTTCCCCTTGTCAGTGATGCAGGATTGAGGGCCTGGGAAGGACAGCTGTCTAGTCGTTCGGATGGGACAAAAAACCGTTGTCCCGTGTACACATTGGCGTGCACGTAAAAGATCCCTTGGCAGTTGGAATTCAATATAAGACTAGGCTGTAGCGTTGCTGCCCGGGCAAAATTTCCCTCATAGCACACTGTATGGTGTATGCCCGTCTTCATTAGCCCAGATTAGGAGCAGAACAGTAGGACGCTAAACTCCATTTCATTTCATTTCCCACTAGATCCCCCCCCCCCACAATTCTATGGAGTACAATTACTGTTTATAACTCAGTGACTTTTGCTACGATTCTCTAGTCTTATATTAAAGAGGGAGAGAGAAATGGGGTTTAATGTCCACTCGACACAAACTAGGTCATTTCGGGACTAACATATGGTTTAATTTTATTTCAATAATTCACTTGCGTGTAGGGATCTTTAGCAGTGGGAGGAAACCGGAGGACCCGGAGAAAACCCAAGAGATTGGACAGGCGACCCTACTCCTTGTCACATACAACCGGGGATTTGAAACCACGACAGTTGACTCAATGACAGGCCGTAATATACAGCACGCATGTGCTAACCACTCGGCCATCCACTCCCCCTAGTCTTATATCAAGCAATGTCATTCAGTAATAAACAGTTATATATTCCACAGAATTGTGACCTGTGTATTTCTAGTTAGTAGTAAATATCATCGAAATGATTTAAAATTGAAATGTGCAATATAATAGCTATAGACTATAGACAAGTAGTTGTTGTTGGTTAAAGAGAATTTTGTCAAGTTAATTTAATAAGCTGCAGTATATAAATAATTAATAGTCCATTATTGGATTTTAACTAAAGTATATAACTGATATTGTACCATGCTCAGCTATTTCTATTAAATTACAACTAATAATCAGACTACGAAAACAATGCTGTACTTTTAAACGTAATATATATACAAATACATAGCCAAAATTTGTAGACATTTCCTACCTTCCCCTGCGCAGTGTCAACAGGGTGCTGCTAGATCGACGTCGGTTTCTATTCCACATTAGATAACCTCAAAAAATAAGCCAAAACACTTGAGAGAGCTGTTATTCAAAATTCGGCAAAATCAATAATATGGCTGGTCAACATGCACTGTGTTATACAGGTCTGACCAGCAACAGTCTTGAACTAAAACTAAAATTACGCCCCCATCATATTTAATAGTTGGATTAGTAACTTATATATATATATGTAGGCTATTATCTACACTTGACAGTCTTAAATTTCAACAATGTGAGTAACCAACACTGTAACTCGGGTATCGGTTAATTTTGTGTATCTAGCACTAATTTTTTTCACATTTGTTTATTATCAAATCATTTAAAATCACCCAATATCATCTAATTTGTACTTGTGTTCAGTTTAAAACTAACCATTCAATTTTGATAATGAGTGTCCAATTTACAAGTGTTTAATTTCTCGTCACTGTTAAAAAATAAACAACCCAATTGATTATTATGTATAATGAATAATTTTTAAACAGTGGTTAGGAAATTAAATACTTATAAATTAGACACTCATTATCAAAATTAATCAGTCAGCTTTTTTAAAACAAAGATTTGATATTTAATGAATTTGAAAGAAATTAGTGCTAGATACACAAGATTAAATGATACCCGAGTTACAGTGATGTAACAAACACACATTAAAAATCCTTTACTCATTTAGACATCTAAAAATATAAATTCAACTTTTACCACATTTGTACATACATGTAGCAAACAACCTTTCAAAACCCCCACCAAATACGAACATTAGCAAAGAACATTAGCAAACACAAGACACGTAGATTGTGATTCTATATCCCATGAAATTGCGTTAGTAATTATCCATGCACTGGTTAATTAATAACCGCATAAATATCTAGTACAGCCAAATATTTGTGTTAAAAAAGGGTCCTTGAAAAAATAATATGAGACTTTCTAGAGCGTAAACTTTCAGTTCCTAAAACTATTAAATTCGAACAATGAAAAACACTACTACTAGTTTCTAATTCTATATTACATTAAATTGTCTTAGTACATGTAGCTTGATAACCAATTCAACATCTATTATTATCAATTGTTGGCTTTTTTTCAAAAATAACTGAACAAACCAAAATAAGTTCAGGACATTAAGAGAATACTTAAGAGAGAGAGAGAGAGAGAGAGAGAGAGAGAGTTTAACCTCCACTCCACACAAACTAGGTCATTTCAGGACTAAAACATGGTTCAATTTTATTTCAATAATTCGCTTGTGCATAGGGGTCTTTAGCAGTGGGAGGAAACCGGAGCACCTTGAGAAAACCCACATGGTTGGACAGGCGACCCTACTCGTTGTCACATATACCCCGGGAATAGAAACTATGCCCCACCCCCACCCCACCCGCTTGTTATATTGAATCTGGTTACTTGAACCGGGAAATCAAAACCATGCCAGTTGACTCAATGACAGATCTTATGATACAACACCCATGTGCTAATCATTTTGCCATCCCCCCAACCCCCCACAATGTCAATTTAGAACATTAAAATGCAATTCACGATACTACTAATTTCTGATTCTAATTCAAATAAAACTGTTAGTGGCTTTACATGCACAGATTAATAACCATCACAGCTAAATATTTATTTTAAAAAACAAGGGCCTTAAAAAAATAACAAGATGTCATGTCCACAAACCATAATGGTTCAAGGGCATTAACCTTTCAACACTTCCTTACATAAAGTTACCGGTAATCGACATGTTATTCATATCCTTATTTAGCTCTTATCTTCATCCGACCATTTCCGCCCTTTCAACTTATGTTCAAGTGTTTGCATGTAAACCCAACAATTGAGTTTTAACAATTCACTGCATATCATATCAATATCAATATGAACAGCCATTGCTCGCTCATACACATCAAATAACAATAATGATTAAAAATAACCTAAAAAAAAAAACAACATAACCTCAACATTTGAACAATAAAAAAAAACTTCTGATCAACAAATGTTCACAAATTATAGGAAAAAATATCAATTTACTTGCTTTGCTTGAGTCTGAAAACAATACATCCTTTGCACTTTGCAGCCTAGAAAAATTATTTCAGCATTTTTTGTGTCAATCAGCTCACTACAGACAAGTGGGACTATGTCACTTGCAGTGTTCTCTGTGGAATCATTTTTGATAGATTTAAATCCTCAGAAACTCATCATCACTGAATTCTTTTGAATCCTCTTACTAAATAAATGTCCAAATAATACAGACTGCCAATTATTGATAAAAATCGAGGGTTTAGCCTACTTATAAATAAAACTCATCCCTTCAGGAAAAACCAGCGATAAGGTTGCAATTCACCATCGCTAATGACTGACAGCCATCAATCAAACTTATTTCATGCAGGTATAAATCATACAAGAGTTTATTGATCAAATTACATTAAACTTTTTTATAATCGACACTTTTTTTTTTTTGATAATTATTAAACACCTCAGCGCTTACGTTGAAACGTGAAAAGAGATCTTTCAATAAATGAAGGAAGATATAAAAGCTTGGTTTATTTGAGGTGACCTACTTGTCGATTTAATAGGATTCTCATAAATTTGTCAGCATTATACATGTATAAATGATACCATGACATTAATATTTTCTTTAAAGAATAAGGAAAATGAAGTTTTATAAAAAAAAATATAATATGAATACTTTTAAAGTCGGGAATCCAGGTCTATAATCTCTCAAATAAATTAAACTACATTTTTTTCTTACTGTACAATCCAGAGAAATAAAGACTCAATATTTTTGTCAAAATCCATAAACATGAACCAGTTGAACAAATTATGGGAGAGAGAGAGAAAGAGAGAGAGAGAGAGAGAGAGAGAGAGAGAGAGGTTTAAGCCCACTCAAAAGAAACTAGGTCAATTCAGGACTACTTTAATCTACTTAAAATCCGAGTCATCCAATGCCCTAGAGAATTGGTTATGGTCTGTTAATTAATGTCTAATTAATAATTTATATAACATTTAAGGTCTAAAGAAAGAGGGAGAGAAATGGGGTTTAAGGTCTACTCGACACAAACTAGGTAATTTCGGGACTAACACATGGTTCAATTTTATTTCAATAATTTGCATGCGTGTAGGGGTCTTTAGCAGACCCAGAGAAATCCCGCAAGGTTGGAAAGGCTTAAAGAAAGGCCTGCAATAAGCAGATTTAGCTCTTGAATAATGCATAATTAAATTTAAAGAAACAATGTTAAACTATGTTAGGCAGAAAATCTTGCTAGAACATTTCCTTCCGCACCAATGTGTAGGCCTACATCGGTGGACCTCAGTTTTACGTATCATCCAAATGACTAAGCACACTTTACTTGTCAGGAAATTGATATGACCACTTCATTGACATTTCAAACGGTCGATGTCAAAATTAATTTCTATACGCCACATTCAATTTTAACTTTCAAGTGAAACAAGATAGATATGACAAGCTTATATTTGCTCAAATTACACTGAAGAGTTCTAAATATATTTAAATCATAGATTTTATGTGAATAGATTACCAACAGACTCTTTAAACCATGCCAAATAAAACACACTACATGGCCACACCTCAAACAATTTCAATTCTTCCCTTTATAATCTATACTACTATTGGAACAAGTAGAGAGAGAGAGAGAGAGAGAGAGAGACCAAAATAAGTTCAAAGACAATAATAAACCAATAGCTCCCTTAATTCACTTGAGCAGTGGGAGGAAACTGGAGGACCCAAAGAAAACCCACGAGGTTGGACAGGTGATCCTACTCTTTGCCACATACAACTGGGAAATCAAAATCACCCCAGTTGACTCAATGATAGACCTTATGATGTAACGTGCACACACTAAACATTTGGCCATCCAACCCCAGAGAGAGAGAGAGGGATGGTTTAATGTCCACTCGGCACAAACTTGGTCATTTCGGGACTAACATATGGCATAATTTTATTTCAATAATTCGTTTGTACATTGGGGTCTTTAGCAAAGGGAGGAAACCCGAGAACGGGGAGATGGCCCAAGAGGTTGGACAGACAATCCTACTCCTTGTCATTGAAACCATGTCACTTGACTCAATTAGACCTTGTAATTTCGCACGCACATGTTAAACCACTAGACCATCCAACCACCCTTAGTCTTTGGGATCGGATGAAAAACCAAGGCCCTGTGTACACATTGGTGTGCACGTAAAAGATCCGTTTGATATAAGGGCGTAGCGCCACTGTACGGGCAAAATTTCCCACATAGTTCACTGTATGGTGTATGCCCGTCTTCATTAACCCAGTGGGGGCAGAACATTGGACAATTAAGAAAAGTAAAATCTTCCGGCTTGGTTTTAATTGGATTAAAAAGAGGACCATCAAAAGATTTGAGCCAATACTCATAGCTGGCATTTTTTTTATATCTTTTGCACAGGATGCTGCATAAACAGGTGACAATTCTATGGAATACAATTACTGCTTATGACTGAGCGACGTTTTCGTCTAGGATTCTCTAGTTATTATCAATTTTATGGAATACAATTACTGCTTATGACTGAGAGACGTTTTCGACTAGGCTTCTTTAGTCATTATCAATTTTATGGAATACAATTACTGTTTATGACTGAGCAATGTTTCGACTAGGCTTCTCTTGTCATTGCTTGATAATGACTAGAAAAGCCTAGTTGAAACTTCGCTCAGTCATAAGTAGTACTGTAATAATATTCCATAGAATTGTCACCTGTATATTACAGCTCAATTACTAAATGCCATTGAAACAAAGGATGCTGCATGTTGCGAAATTTTCAAATATCTTTGTAAATATACTGAACGGAATTAAATCATTTTTTAATCGAAGCAGCACGAGGCAGAAATATTTATTCTAAAACATGACATCTTGGCATTTGACTGACATTTCACAAAGCAAACTATCAAGAATGACTTCTGTCATTTCCTTAACCTTTAGTATTCTCAAATAATTTCATATTAAAGTTAAAGGCCCATTTCAATATTAATTTAGCTAAAACCTCTTGCATCTCATGAAATCTTAAAATATCATACAATGTCCTAAATTAGAGTGGCCAAACTAAGAATTTGTTTAAGGGCTATACTATATACCAGAAAACCCCGGAAAACAACCGGAAAACACCATGTTATACAGAATACCGGAAAAACACTAAATACCGGAAAACACACTAAATATCGGAAAACATCCTAAATAGGTAACTTGGAGCCTGGCCCTCTGGAAAACACTGGAAAAACCTAACCCAAACCCTAACCCTAACTCTCTGCAAACAGAAGACCAGGCTCTTTGTTACCTATTTAGGGTGTTTTCCGGTATTTAGTGTGTTTTCCAATATTTAGTGGTTTTCCGGCATTCAGTATAACATGGTGTTTTCCGGTATTTTCTGGTTGTTTTCCGGTACATACATGTAGTATTGTCGTTTTTTTAAGGGTCCAAGAAAACATCATCCATGTCCTACACTACCATATTTTGATCATTAATAACAAACTTTGACTGTTTATTTCATACTAAAAATGAATCTTTAAATCTATTCAGACAAATTAACATCTAGTCCACACCCAAAATAGGAAGTTATTCATACAACACCCATGAGATGAACAATCTTTGGAATGCAGATGGATTTGAAATATTAATGACTTTCTTTAATACAAACATCTATAAAAATTGCACAACCCTGAATGAAAGCACTGAATAAAAACACTGAATGATCAATCGGATTAAAACACAGATCTTTATTTCGTCTCGTTTTTTTATACTATCGATGGCCTACACTAGATGAAGATCTGACAAGTTGTACTGGTAGGTTGTGTCAGGGGTCGTACGAGCGCCTTTTGATTCTATGACGTCAGACATTGATTAATCAATCCGTGTTGATATTTCTAGTGGTTTACCCACAGTTCTGTGCATGGCATGTCAAAAAGTCGCCGTAACTGACCGTTTCATTGGCTAATCCCTCACTTCAACCAGAACAAACACTGTTATATAACAACTCTTCCAGATCCTAGTGTAGTCAAGACAAGTAAAACGAAATTTTGAACTATAAAAAAACGAAAGGAAATAGGATCTGTGTTTTAATCAGATTGATTGAATGATGTTATCCCTAGTTCTACACCAATATGCAAGTTTGTTATTATAGACCACACAACCAATGTTTGGTTTAAATGCTATAAATTGCATTATCACTCTGACAAAACATCTCAAATTTCTTAATAAACTGCAATTGTACAAGTCAAATTTACACTTTCTACCTGTGATTACATTTCTATTATCTAAATTTGTACATGTACTGATTGCATTATAGATCGAAAATTTGGTACACTCCAAACATATTTATTCATTTCTATAATCTAAATTTGAGTACATGCACTGATTGTATTCTAGTATAATCGTAAATTTGGTACACTCCAAACATATTTATTCATTTCTATTAGCAAACCCCAAAAAACATTTTTCTAGGGTATTTTATTAACCCTTTCAGTGCCACAGGCCTGTATTTAGATCAACCAAAAATTTTAAATACCACAGTAGTACATGCACATGTACGCCTACATGTATTTTCGTCTATGCAATTAAAACCTTGGATTAGTTTCTTTTTCATGCAAATTTTCAAAATCGACCCACAGTACTGAAAGGTTTAAGATAATCTTTGATATAAGAATCTCCTACGAGACTTTTTTGATATATAAAAAATATCAACATAAGTCAAGTTTTTTTTTACTTTTTCGATGAGTGTTGATATTTTTTGATATCCAAAAAGACGAATAGGAGATTTTATCTATCACCCAATCCTTTCTTACATGCACAAATAAGTTGATATAATTCTTTGGAATAGATTTAATTTTATTGAACCCGATTACATTACGGCATGTGTAGTGATACTTTTTGACAGCAAGTCACCCGTTGCATATCCTTTATATTGACCCAGTTGTTTCCTTTAAGGTTATGAAGAGTATTGTAATTGTTTATGGTAAATGAGAACTTTTCTCCAACAATATTACTGGATACAAAAAGTTGTTTCTTTTTAATAAAAAAAAGTAGTTCCTTTTTAATTGACCAATCAAATTCATGTAAAGCAATATCTCCTAAGATTATGAAAGTTATCACACAAGCGATATCTGATGTAGAATGAGTTCTTGGGTTGATAAAAAGAAATTGTATGCTCGTCATTGAAACAATCAAGTCAACAAGACAATACAAGATCAATATGTGAACAGACGATAAAACTCATGCTACATGAAATAATAAATATACAGAGTGCTGAAAATAAATTAATTTTATAAGCTTATATAAATATCAAAAGCATACACACAACCTTTGAAGCTATTTCAAAATCATTCCATGGCATTAAAACAAAAAAAATAAACATTGTCCAATTTTTTAACAATCTGATTAAAACACAGATCCTATTGCGTTTTGTTTTTTATAGTTCCAAATTTCGTTTTAATTGTCTTTACTACACTAGGATTTGGAAGAGTTGTTATATACCCCGCTTCTGGTTGGAGTTCTTGACGTGAGGTGCACGGAACTGTGGCTAACCCACTAGAAACATTAAGGCTGATTGGTTAATCAAATGTCTTATGTCATAGTTCAAAAACCGCTCGTATGACCTTTGACGCGACCTCCCACTACAACCGGTCAGATCTTCATGAAGTGTAGACCATCAAAAGTATAAAAAAAAAATTAAAAAAATATAGATCTGTATTTTAAGCAGATTGATTTTTTAAAAGAGAATAACACTGAATTCCAGTAGAAATACATGTAGGTGTTGCAATTGACAGCTACATGGCCAGTTAGTGCTAAATGATAAGGCCAGATCAATTTTTCGTCATACATGTAGGTCACGAGATGTAAACAGGGCTAGCGCTAATCCCATCCCTAACCCTGGACCTAGCCTCAATGTTTACCCTAACCTACAATCTAGCCAACAATCAAGTGCCCTAACCTTATTTACAACTTGTGACCTATGACGAAGAAAAATTGAGCTGGCCTTATCATTTAGAACTAACACAGCTACATGGAGATTGGAGGCTATATGTAACTCACTTCAGGTGTGCAGTAGTGGACATGTACCTTGAGTTTGCCCCCCCCCCTCACCCCCTTAAACCACCATGCGAAGAAAAGCACAAGACAATGCACACATCAAACATATACTTTAAATAGCGTTTTATTCAGAAATTAAATTGTGTCCTATTGTCCCAATGGAAAAGCTAAAAATTTGCCATGCAGTAAGCCAAAAGTGCTTCCCCCTTTGGTACACTACTGCACATACATGTACATGCATACCTGTATGTATTTTGCTCAAAATTAATTTGGGTACACAGATTTATTACACAATTCCAATATCATATCGAAGCCCATAGACATATTGAGAAAATAAAATTAAAATTTATAGAGATGACTACCGTACCTTCTCTGTCGGAGAGGTGATCTACTACTTCCGCTTTCTTCAACTCCATCGACAGTATCCTGAAAAACAAAAACATTCAAAACATATTTTATACAGTCATGATAAAACATGCAAGAGCTACATATGTAAATCTGTCTATTGCAGGTCTTTCTTTACGCCTGAAATGTTATCTAAATTATTAATCAGACATTTTTAATTAGTTTTTTTTCGTCTTATGACATTAAACACTGTGTATAAATTTAAAGTCAATTGCATTGTAACTTTAACCTCTACAGCCAATAGAATACCTACATAAATGAAATGAAACAGGGTTTAACGTCCCACTGTTGTGCTCCGACTGGGCTAATGAAGACGGACATACCCCATACAGTGTGCTATGAGGTAAATTCTGTTTGGACTTTGGACAACAGCACTATGGCCTACTCTTATATCGAAGAATACCTACGTACTACATGTATTTGAGTATAGCATACATGTAGATGTACATGTATTGTCATATACAGTATAATACAATATCATAATATTAATGTCATGGTTTCCAAGTAATCCGCGCTAAAATCAATAGGACTCTTCGTCTCATGACATAAAACACTGTGTATAAATTTAAAGTCAATCGGTTAATAACTTTAGCCTCTAGAGCCAAGCCAAGAGAATACCTACATGGACTATTTGACTATAACATAGATCTTGTATTGTCATAATGTTGATACATGTATCAATGCATGTAATTCTTAAAACTGTCCCTTCTGTACAATCTAATACAATATCATTAACTCCCCAACACTGACCAATATATACATGTACATTATATAAACATCTGATGACCACAGCCAATAGAAAACAGTGTGTTGTTTTAAGATAATAATATAGTTAATACTGGTGATTAGTTAGCCAGATTATCCCCAAATTAATTAGCTTCTAGCTGCATTTATTTAATTAATTAAACTGTGATGATCTAAAAACTTGGGTCAGACAGGATTATTTAACTTTTAAACTTTGGCCACTTTTAGCTGAAAAGGTTACCAGGTACATGTAGATAATGTAATCAATTACATGTCAGCAGATAATCCTACAGGTAAACAAAGATTAACCATTAACACCTATGTACACACCCTTGTCTATTACTGACCTTTACTGTAGTATATCTACATTTGACCAGTTTGTAATATTACATGGTTAAGGTGCCCCTCCCCTCCAAAAAAAACCCCCAGAAACCATAATATGTTTAAGTAAATGTAAATCCTGCAAAGGTCCAGCAAATTTGATGAAATTTGTAGGATTTAATAAAAAAAATTTCGTTTCTGTTCTTTTTGGGATCACCCTGTATTACAAAGTTAAGATTACCATGTATTTAAAAGATATATTCCCACAAAAATCTGTATCAAGGTAGTACTGTACTTCTAATTGTAATACATGTTCATGGTACATGTACATGAGCACAAAAAAACCTCAAAAACCCCAAAACATTTACACGGAAAACAATCACTGGTGTTTATACACATAGCACAACGTTTTGACAATTATTCTCTTATCATTAGGTATTTTTTTTATCTAAGGTTAAGGGGTCATTATTATGAGAGATTAAATAAAGCATTCACAGTTCTTGCTGTAATAGTTAAAAAATAGATAACATAAATAGAATATGCTGAACCGAGATGTGAGTTTTTGAATTTTAGGCTAGTCTCGATCATCATTACTAAAGTCAGTACGATAAAAAGAAAGTCTCAATAACTATCCATTTTTACGTTTTAATTTTTTTTCAAAAAATGTATTCCAATCAGCTAAATATTGCAGGCTAGCAATGGCATCGAGAGTTGATTATGGTCTGGATAAGTTAATCAATGTCTTATTTAATTAAGTATAAATTAGATAACATTTCAGGCCTAAAGAAAGAGCTTCAATAGTGACATTTAGCTGTGGCATAATGTATGTTTAAAAGATACATTCCCACAAAAGTCTTTATCAGGTAAATGTAGTTACTTCCAATAAAAATATGGCATAAAATTGTGTTCTGTTTATTTTTATTCAATTTGCTGTACATACACTGTACATGTACATGTACATATATATCTTTATTTGACCAATTGTAATACATGTACATGTACATGAACACACAAAAAAAACAAACCAAAACATAACATAATTTATATGGAATAGCACATTTTGACAAGTATTCTCTTATCAATATCTAATGGTTTATCAATATTTGACTAACTTGTAATATTACTAGGTTAAGATGACCGTATATTTTAATATCCTTAAAGTAGAGGTGTAACATTAGAGAGAGAGAGAGAGAGAGAGAGAGAGAGGGTCATTTCGGGATTAACACATTGTTCAATTTTATTTCGATAAATTGCTTGCGTGTAGGGGTCTTTAGCTGTAGGAGGACCCAGAGAAAACCCAAAAGGTTGGACAGGAGGCCCTACTCTTTGTCACATACGAGCGGGAAATCGAAAACCACGCCACTGACTCAATGACGGATCTTGTGATTTCATGCACACGCGTTACTAGAGACATGTATTGGGGAAAATTTGCAGGACAGTTATAAGTTTATCAAGAGAGAGAAGTTTTAACATCCACTCGACACAATCTAGGTCATTTTGAGACTAACATATGGTTCAATTTTATTTCAATAATTCACTTTTGGGTAGGGGTCTTTACATGTACATGTAGCATTGGGAGGAAACACGGAGGACCCGGAGAAAACCTACGGGGTTTGACAGGCGATCCTATACTCCTTGTCATGTTCAAGCGGGAAATCGAAAACAAACCACTTGACTTGATGACAGACCTTATGATTTCACGCGCATGCGTTAAAACACTAGACCACCCAACCCCCAACATTAATATCAAAGTACCTTAACCTCTCTAACTAAATATTATCCATAATATTTGTAAATTAAAAACATGACAGGACCCGGAGAAAACCCACGAGAGTAGACAAACTTTCAACACTACTCCTTGCCTCGTACTTAGTGTGGCATCGAAACCCTGCCACTTGGCAGATTGGATGATCTAAAGCATTTCTCGAAACAAGGAAAATATTAAAGCGACATATAATACTGTTGATTTCCTTGTCTATAGGCAGATTTAACTCTTACGTAATGTCTGGTTAAGATTTTTTCTTTAAAGGTACAGATAATCTATCACTTATACACAATTTTGGGGTATAGCTGTTCACAAAATAATGTCTTGGCAAGGCCCTCCATCCTGCATCACTGACAAGGGGAAACCACACTTAGAAACTTTTTCTACAAACACAATGATTGAATCCAGGGCCTCACTAAGAGTAAGCCCTACTCTCTGAGCCTTCACGGCTTTCCTAGTGGAAACTAATGCTGGCACGATATATCGTTTAATCGATTTATCGCGATTCAACTTCTCGTGATTCGCATATTGAATCGCAAGAAGCGGAATTGATTTTTTTGTCGCATCAGTATGTAACTCGTCGCTCTTAATTATCCATAGGTACACAAAAACCCTTAAATTATTTTGGTCCTTATTTTGATCCACATCAATATCATGATATTGTCACCACAGTCTATCAAGACCCTATAATTACCTTTCTATGGTTGAATTAATTATGGGTTACCTTAACACTGATATACATGTAGCATCTTAGAGGATAGACCGTGGTGACAATATAACAGTAACAGTTTTATATCCTCGATATCGGCAGGACTAAAAATATCAATTAATCAGTTATCTTGTTATTTTCTTGGTAATTATTAATCTGGTTATGAATCGTGATACATGTACGAATCGTATCGTAGCACCTAAATCACAATACGTAGGCTATCATATCGTACCTGCAGTGGCAATACTCAACACTAGTGGAAACTTCACTCAGTATTAATTCTATTTCACAGAATTGTGTCCTACATGTATGTATTTCTAAATGTCATTGAAATTTTGAAATTCTACAGTACATGTACCATACAGTACATGATCTCTAGTCTACAGCATTATCCAGGAAGGTTCACCTGCCATTAAAGCAGAAAAATGTCCATAGAATTGATAAACTTTGATGTTTCTGTTGTACATTTAGATATATAGTATACCATGGATACTGATTTCATGTAAAAGAATCATTATTTGAATTAGGTTTAGAGAAATAATCAAAGAAAGAATAAATCAAGTATGCTCTCCTTGAAGATGTTTATATAAGGATTATAGAAATGTACATGGATGTGACCATCAATAACAAAATCCACATTCCTATGTAATATAACACTATAACTTTCTTCTTTAAATATTTAAAATCTGGTTGTTTTTTTTTTGTTTTTTTTTATTACAACAATGTAGTGTGTATTGATACTGATAAGAAAAAAACCCCAAGGTTTACAAATCAAGCATGCATACATGAATGTATAATGTACAAAATGTAGTTGTGTCTAAAGAAAATTACATACATGTACATGTACAACAGAGTCCAGTATTCTCAAACAATCACGCCTGCCTTAAAGGAGCTGCATCGTTAATATTTGAGACTTAGAAAATGAAATGAAATGGGGTTTAACGTCCTACTGTTCTGCTCCTATACTGGGCTAATGAAGACGGGCATACGCCATACAGTGTGCTATGAGGGAAATTTTGCCAGGGCAGTGGCACTATCGCCTACTCTTATATCGAATTCCAACTGCAAAGGGATCTTTTACGTGCATTCCAATGTTTACACGGGACCTCAGTTTTTCGTCTCATCCAAAGGACTAGACAGCTGTCCTTGTCAGGCCCTCCGTCCTGCATCACTGACAAGGGGAAACCACGTCGGAAAATCGGGATGAACTTTCTCGGCTAATGCAGGGATCGAACACCCGACCTCCAGGCTAGCGAGCCAGCGCCTTACCCACCCAGCCTCCGTGGCTCCCTTGAGACTTAGAAAATGACACAAAATTGGTTGCAATGCATATAATAATGTAATCTGATTGTATATGAACTGATTTACATTCAATTGTTTCCGTTTACACTCTAATTTTAAATCAGTTATATTCGCCAAAAGTCTCAAACGAATGACAATCTCTAGCGCCTGGTTATTCCAGTCTACATACATATAGTATTCATTGTGCATACTCTCCAGATAAGAATATGATGTCACCATTTGACATGACTTGTGGAATATGTCTGGCCTCGTTCTCCGAGTCCCTTGTTACAAATGGTACTGAAATGCATTATGAAACACGATTCGTCTACCAATGGTAAAATGTTTATTTTGTCTTAAATACTGGATATCAGAAGCCCATCTTTCTCGTGTAAGATCACAACATCAATGTTGATTTTAACTGACAAATAATTTGTGTTTTCAATGTCAAAGACTTTAAATGATATTGAGTTAGAGACTTACATGCAGCTACTTTAACGTCAACAAATAATAATTCTAGATGACAAACTGTCAAATTTTGTGGGGGATATATTATAAAAATATCATAAAAGACCACTGACAATACAAATCTGTGCCAGACAAAATGACAGGCACAAGAAGGGCTGTGTCTCACAATGCCTGAATTCTTGTCTGAAAACTTCTCTTTGACAGGTGGCATATTTCCATACTTGCTTCTCAGGTAAGCAAAATTAGGTCAAGTGTACATCTTTTTTTAGAGACTGTTTTTATTGTGTATCACAGATTTAAAGATTCCTTGATAGAAAATAATGTGAATACCAAGTCTCGTGTTTTCCGGATAAAATGTCTACATGTACCTGTGATAATTGAGTTGCAAAGTTCAAGATTCGTTCAATGTCAAGGTTTCCACGGAGGTCGCCATGTTTGATTTGAGTGTGTTTGTGACACAACCTCTGATTGGACTACGCTGCTGTTCACATGTCTGTGGTAAAGTGAGATAACATACCAATAAGTTCGGGAATAATAGACTAATATAGCAACGGCTAGATGTTGTAAAAGTCATGGTCATTGCTTCCGGAACATGGTACATGTACAATGTACATGTATGTACGGAACCTGTCACAGACATAAGTGAAAAGTGACATGTCCAGGCTTGTACATGTACATGTATCCGTTATATGATAATTTGTACTTGACAAAGTCTGTGACAGTTGCCTTATGTCCCGACTTGAAATTAACATCGATCCACCCTGGGAACCATGAATTTCACAAAATTCTTATTACACTCATGGAGTCATGGACAAAAGGAGTATTTAATTTGTTGTAATTATGGTTAATCAAGCCTGGACATAAGGCATCTGTCAAAGACATTATCAAGCACACTGTCAGGATTTGTTGATCCCTATGTTATGTAATGTGAGATGTGTCTTTATGTCCAGGCTTGCAGTTAACTACATGTATAAATGAAATAGAATGCAAAATAATATAATTATCCAATCTGATTAAAATACTGATCTATATTTTGTTTCGTTTTTTATACTTTCGATGGCCTACACTACATGAAGATCTGATAAGTTGTACTGAAAGGTCGTGTCAGGGGTTGTATGAGTGACTTTTGACCTTATGATGTCATACATTGATAGCGTTGACGTTTCTAGTGGTTTACCCACAGTTCCGTGCATGGCACACCAAGAAGTCGCTGTAACAGATCATTACATTGGCTTATCCCTCACTTAAACCAAAACGCTGGTAATATAACAACTCTTGCAGCTCCTAGTGTAGTACAGACAAATAAAACGAAATTTTGAACTATAAAAGGAAACGAAATAGGATCTATGTCTTAATCAGATTGTATAATTATCTAGTGTAGGCATAATGTATTATTTTAGCACTGTACAATACTTTTATAGGTCTATGGACCAACTACTTTTATCATTGGCCAGGCCTATGGATTTAACTTCACTATGGCATGAGCTGGATATTTCAGGAACATTTTTGTGGTTTTAATTATCATTTAATGGTGAAGTAATTTAACATCTCGGTAATGCACACACATACCTAAATGGTACGCTTACATGTATGTATTGTTCTTTTGGCGTATTTTTCATTTGTCAATATGTCACGAATAGTAAATATAATCCCTGAGTGGCATTTAGCGATTGAGCACATTAAAAAACACAATTTATATGGAAAACAATCTCTAGAAAACGATAAGAGAATACTTGTCAAAATACTGTGCTATATGTGTATAAACCAGTGATTGTTTTCCATATAAATTGTGTTGTGTTTTTTTGAATAGTAAATAGTTTTGCAGCATGGACTTTTTTGTTAGTCATGCTCCAATGGTAGCCTATTACTGAAGTCAGCCAACCGCCAATGCTGTTTTTGCGATGTTCAGGCTTACTAATCTATAAAATATAACCCTAAAATTATTTTGGGTCCTAAATGTTAAAAATCTGGAGAACCAGAGATGAAACATTGGATGATTGGTAGATTTCAGCATATCCCTGGTCTGACTCTGTTAAAACAATTTGTGCTCTAAGTCTAATGTATCTTAGACTCTAAATCTAATCTAACTAAATTAACTGAAATTTATTAAACATCAATGATTAATTAATTAGGCCACATGTTAAACACTAACAGTTTTAATGTTTATTGGGGTTTTTTTTTTGGCGCAGGACGTTGATCCGGCTACTTAGGGTTAGGGTTAGTAGTGGAATTAAGTCAAAAGTAGCCGGGTCAACGTACTACATGTACACTAGGCCTTTTTTTTTTTACTTTTGTAGACCTATAATTGCTTAATTATGAGCACTTAATTTATACACATAATGTTCTTATACTCAGCCAACTAAACTGACGGTCTTATTCACCAAATTCAAAGAAAGCAAAAATACATATACTATAGCCTATTGATCCTCCTGACTGACAATGTCAGCTGGGTGACAGTACTGACAGTACACAGTCACTACTCACTACACTATAACACAGCTCCAAAAATGGCAAATCTAAAATTAATATAATGCTTATAATATTCAAGGCTTCCTTTGTATTTGGTTTATAAATAAACATAATTGGGAAATGCGTTCATTTAAATGGCATAACTTCGCAGTGAAAAACTTACGGTTTCAACCAACAAGTGGTTTTACGAAAGAAAGAAGTCAATTCTCAAAACCAAATTAGAAAATTTGGTCATGCCAAAAAGGAATCAAGACTTACAGCTTCTGGGTCGTTGCTTGGACTAGGAGACCTTTGGATAGTCACCAAAGCCATTAGTATCTACTCAAAGTTCTGTAAAATGTCAAGACTCCAATCTTCGTAATATCGTAATCCACAACATTTGAAAATAAAGAAACTAATTCATAGTTTTGTAAAGGAATTCATGAGGCAATCACAAATAATATCGCTGGCCCACTCAGCGCAGGTGCGAGAATCCGGATATGATTTCATCTCGGGTCATTTTAGGTCAAATACTTCACTTCCGCTTAGCAACACAAGGTAAACAAGTATGGCTGCCAAAAGCACTTGCAGCTGAAACAAATTGAAGAAAACAGGGTAAAATCGATTAACTGCCTTATACTTTGCATTTTTAGGTGATACAAAATGTGTGGATATTTGCTTTGCATTGATTAATTTGATAGATCACTCTAAGATCATCGTTTCAAAATTGTTCTACAAATAAGTATCAAGAAATTCTGAAGAAATTTCATCTATTGAGATTCTATGACTCTTGTCATATTTCATTCACATTGGTAATAGTACTAAATATAATAGTAGTGCAGAAATATTCTGAACATCTCTCAGCCAACATGTCAAAATAACTATCAGGTGAGAGGCATAATACTAGTACATGTCATCTAAATCATGCAGATGAGACAGGACTTAATTTTCATTTAAATTTTAGGGGTTGGATGGATGGCTGAATGGTTAGCGTGTGCCGCGCTGTATCATAAAGTCTGTCATTGGGTCGACTGGCATGGTTTCAAATCCCCGGTTGTACGTGACAAGGAGTAGGGTCGGCTGTCTAACCTCGTGGGTTTTCTCCGGGTCCTCCGGTTTCCTCCCACTGCTAAAGACCCCTATGAAATTGAATTGTATGATGAGTAGATAGATCCTATTTAGTATTTGATTAATTTTGTTGAAAATCAGAAAGTGTTAGAATTAATTTCATTATGATGTCAATGATAAATTAACTAAGTAACCTCGCTTGGGCGAGATTTGTGGGGAGATAACTTAGGGGTGATGATTTTCCGTTTCAGAAAATAGCAAATTCCGTTTTAAGTATTTTTAATTCCGTTATTTTCCGTTTCAGAGCTGACCATATTCCGTTTTTTCGAGATAAAATGTTATTTTATGAATAAATGAATAAAACATCTTAAAATGCCTTTTATTACAAAACGGATCATTTTAAACCAATGATAACAAATGTTGAATTGTGAATGACTTGTAATGTTCAATGACTAGTTATTCTTTAAACCTGTTTCCCGAATTAAATAACAGAAAATTACATCTTGTGAGCTCGTTTCATCTTTTTAGCAGACGAAGTCATGTTTCTCAGCTGCTAGGTGTAGTCGCGATTTATCCAGACATCTTCGTAGTTACTACCGTTTCTTCGAGAATAAGGGCTGGATTCACAAGGCTACGGTATATTTCTGATGTCACGTGGTTAATGCGGATAAACACGAGTCACGAGCCCGGCAGTAAAATAAGAAGTAAATGAAACGATTTTTACTTTTATGAAGTGACAGAAGTTTTTTTAAAGACATATATATACATTACAATGTTTAATTCAAGTTAAACTACAGAGTAATTTTATAATGGGATACATGAAAGACGGGTTTTCGTTTCGATTAAAATTATGATTCCTAAATGATGAAATGAAAGTAGCGAAATACTAAAATAGACAGTAACAAAACCACGCGATATCATTCAATATTTCCGATTTTTATGAATAAAAAGATAAAATACTTGGATAACTGCAAAACTATTTTGAGTTTGTGTTTAGTATCAGCAAATATCGGCTTTTCCGTCTTTTTCCGTGTGAGATTTCAAATTCCGTTTTGAGTGGACAATTCCGCGATTTCCGCGTTTTTTCCGCGATCACGGAAAATCATCACCCCTAATAACTCAGGCTATAGATATTGACATTGCCTTTTTTGCCCAGTGTAGGCCTTCTTGGCTCTGGTCTGAATTTTTTTAAGGCAACAGTCTATAACAGCTGCACTTACACTCTTGTGTTACCAGAAAAGAGCTTTGCTTTGACAAGCACCACACTTCAGCAATGCTTTAGAGCTTTGCTCTATATTACATGTAGATTAATGTTGATATTCAATACATACTGCTACTGTTGGATGTGGACAAATAACTAACCATACCATTTCTGTTTCAGATAATAATATAAACTTACTAGAGCCTTTTGCCTGAAAGTTAGGCTTTCTACAGCTTTAACATGGCAGAAGTATATCAGCCTAGCCCACCAAGTAGCGCTGGGGCAATGCAAATCGCAATGTCAGCAGGACGAACCCCAACATCAACATCCAGCAGACGTTCTACAACACCAGGTAGTTTTTACGAAGCAGATACTCCCGAATTTGAACGACGGGCTGGGGATAGTGGTAGCAGTACTGGTGTCAAGCGGTGGAAACGATTGCACGAACAACAAACAATGGAACAGCTGAGCTCACTGAGACAGGAGAAAAAAGAAAGCATCTTAATCGCAAAACAAAAGGCCAGGGAAACAGCCAGAAAAATTAGTGTTGAACTTTTGGCAAGAGAATGGTTGGCTGAAAATCAGGCTACAGTGGAAATAAGAGCTTATTTAGTAGATAAATTATTACCCACATTAATCCTTGGTGTAGAAAAACTATTAACGGTGGTTGATTTTCAAGAACTAGCTGAAACAGATAAAAATGCAAACTTTAATCCATTAAATTTTTTAGCCCAATATTTATTAAGGAACAATCCTAAATACAGTAATTTTGCTGAAGCATCACCTTATGTTCGTGGAATCCGACAAGTTTCGGAAGATCTCAGAATGCAACTTTTCAACATGGAAGATAACAGGTAATTGGTTGTTTGGAATTCGGGTCAGTCAGGTGGGCTATATTGGACCAAATTGAAGTTGCTGTATTCACAGGCTAGAATAGCAGGAAAACGCGTTTGCGGCAGTTAAATTTTCAAAATTTTCTGCTAACGGTCCCGTCTTCGTAGACTGTAAACGATTGATCTTTTAATTGGAATTTGAGTCAGCCATCTTAATTAGGCTATAATAGACCACTTTGTTCAAGGACTGAAATAGCAGGAAAACGTGTTTGCAGCCGTCAAATATTCCAAAATTCTCCTTTGGGGAGGGGGGGCATGCAAGATAAGCTCTGCTTCTTCGCCTCTCGAGGAAGACCGACGGCGCTGTCTGTAAACCCGAAATTTTTTTCGGGCATTTCGGTTTCTGCCCCCCTAACTGTCATCGAGCCCGTACGCCTATGCCGGTGATCATCAATGAGGAATTATTATTCATCCCTTGCAAACATAAAAATTGCCAGAACTGAATCACTTAAAGGAATATCAATCCAAAAATTGTTGAGTATTTCCAAAAATATTATAAGTTGAAACTAATCTGATTAAAACACAGATCCTATTTCTTTTCGTTTTTTATATTTCAAAATTTGGTTTTACTTGTCTTTACTATACTAGGATCTGGAAGAGTTATTATATAACCCGCGTTCTGGATGATGTGAGGGATTAGCCAATGAAATGGTCTGTTACGGCAAGTTTTTGTCGTGAGGTGCACGGAACTGTGGGTAACCCGATCAATGCTGATTGGTTAATCAAATGTCTGATGACATAGGGTCAAAAGCCGCTTGTATGACCCCTAACGCAACCTTCCACTTCAACCAGTCAGATCTTCATGTAGTAGAGGCCATCAAAACTATAAAACAACGAAACGAAATATAAATCTGTATTTTAATCAGATTGAATTGAAACTTATGCAACATTCGGCATCCTCCACAATATAAATTATGGACATATTTTCAATCCAATATTTGTTACTGGTTTTATTTTAAAGGTTGGCAAAAATCAAGGCTGATGTAAAACGTAGACGAACAGAAAGAGAACATCAACAACATTTAAAACTTTTAGAAAATATCCGACGTTCCAATTGTTTACTTACACAATTTACAGAATGGAATGTTGCTGTCGATGGTCGGGTTGAACTGTCACTGGTTGGTAATTATTTATAAGCTATCCCACAGGTTCATGCTGCTCTCTGTCCAATTTATTATTGATGAACCGCTCGATTGAACTGTTTTGAAATACTGTTGAGCGGTTTTTTTTTGATAATTATAAATATTTAAAGGTATACTGTGATGTAATTTGATTCTTGAGGTTACAGTTTAAAGGTTATGTTTTGTTTTATAAATCGGGGATCACAGTGGCTAAGTGGGTAAGACGCTGGCTCGCTAGCCTGGAGGTCGGGTGTTTGATACCTGCATTTGCAGTTCATCCAGATTTTCCGGCGTGGTTCCCCCTTGTCAGTGATGCAGGACGGAGGGCCTGACAAGGACAGCTGTCTAGTCCTTTGGATGAGACGAAAAACCGAGGTCCCGTGTATACATTAGAATGCACATAAAAGATCCCTTGACAGTTGGAATTCGATATAAGAGTAGGCCATAGTGCCGCTGCCCGGGCAAAATTTCCCTCATAGCACACTGTATGGCGTTTGCCCGTCTTCATTAGCCCAGTATAGGAGCAGAACAGTAGGATGTTAAACCCCATTTCATTTCATTTGTTTTATAAAATCTCAAGTTTCTTATCTCTAACTTTTCTATTTTAAAATGTATAAAAAATACATTAGAACCAGGGCCCTTATTCACGAAAACTTAAACTAAGATACAATCGAAATTTAAGAAATACTGCAATTCGATTGGCTGACCAATATGCAAATTGGATATATGCAAATTGATTTTACTGGTCAGCCAATTGAATTGCAGTATTTCTTAAAATTTCGATTGTATCTTAGTTTAAGTTTTCGTGAATAAGGGCCATGGGCTCTAAATTCATTTCAGTTATATTTGACATGCTTGACAAAGGTGAAGTGAATTTGACTAGTTGAAGAGAACGGGGGTCCTGACAAGGACAGCTGTCTAGTCATTTGGATGGGACAAAAACCAAGGACCTGTGAATACATTGGCATGCACGTAAAAGATCCCTTGGCAGTTGGAATTCGATATAAGAGTAAGCCATAGTGCTGCTGCCCGGGCAAATTCCCCACATAGCTCAACATATGCCCATCTTCAATTTCCCAGTAGGAGCAGAACAGTAGGGCTTAAACCCAATTTTATTACATTTTTGACTAACTGTCAAAAAGTTAAAGTGGAAGCATGCTTGGAACATTTATATAATATCAAATTCAAAAATGTTGTCCATAAAATATAATTTAACATTATTTTTATTTACCATATATTTTAGTTCCAGAATGCTCTACGATCATTTAATGAGGTGGCAGAAAATTTTCCAGAAGAATTAAAGAGAGTTTCTAGATTAGGCCACAGTTTAGAACCCACAGATGAAACAGGCATTACTCTAACTTTAAATGAATTTGTTAAGGTTAGTTTCAACTCTTTTGTTAAGAAATTTTAAAAACTATCTCCCATTAAGAATACTGCAGAAAACTTGTTTTTTTTAATTTTAAACTTCACAAAAGTGATAAATAGAATAATTTGGAAACTGAAGATGACAAACTTAATGGTTCTGCAAGTTTCAATTTCAGAATGTAGTTTAAGTTAATGGTGAACATTGTGAGAAAAATTGTTTCCAAAATTAATGAGTACTCCCAACTCTTTATCTAATCTCCCATAATGCCCTTTTGAAAAGCAGATATTGTCCCGATAAGTTGCAAATGACGATCAACTGTAAAGTCTACATTTTTGTCTTTTCAGTATATAAGTTCGTACATAGAAAATCTACCCAGAGAAGTGTTTGAACAGTTCATGGTACACATGTCTAAGTGTGCTGCAGCATATCGGGCATCCGCTGAACGTGAGCAACGTAGAATATACTTGTCTAATCTTTTTATGAAATGTGATCATAGTGGCGTAAGTATAAACTTATTTTGATATGCAACAGACAACATGGTGGATGGTTATTTAAAACTTTAGTTTTTATACGCCCACATTTTGATATGGAGGTTTATTGTCATGGTCCCATCCGTCTACAATTTGTTTGTAGAAAAGTCTACAGGTCAAAATTTTTACCCGATTTTGACGAAACTTGAAATATAGGTTATCTCCCAAAGATCTCAGTTTCTTTTGATATTGGCATGTACCGGACCGTAACTTCATTGATTATGGCTCCTGATTCTACGAAAAATCTTTTTTAAGCTTGTTCTCTGTCCATCTCTTGCAAAATGTGGGCGTAATCTTGCATGGCAACCGCTTGTTTTACATGATACATTGATAAGGTTTGAAATAAAATGAAATGAAATAGGATTTAATGTCCTACTTTTCTGCTTTGTGCTATGAGGAACATTTTGGCCGAACAGCGGCACAATATCCTACCCTTTATTTCAAATTCCATCTGTCAAGGGTTCTTTACATGCACACCAATGTGTATTTTAACGAGAACAGACAGCTCTTTATATCTAGATCTTTACTAAAAAAGACATGTGGTCTTTGAAAATAATAAGTATATATGTATATATTATGATTTATTTGTTTGTAGATTGCGTTATTAGACAGACATAGGATATTAAATCTATTTGAACAATACTGGGATCAAATGAAGAATGACGAGAAATGTAAAGGTCTACGTAATCCCAGACAATGTAAGATCTTTTATAAATTATAATATTTTGTTATGTATCAAATTTTTTTGTTTTAAAGGCAGGTATATTCAATATTTATTGTTTAAAGGAGTTAATATTTGGGACCTAGAAATTGACACAAATGGGTCGCAACGCATATGATAATTGATAATGTAATATGAATGTATATAAACTGATTTGCATTCAATCGTTTCTGTTTTTACTGTAATTTCTAATCAGTTATGTTCAGCGAAATACGCCAGAAGTCTCAATCGAATGGCAATCTCTAGCATCTGTTTTTTCCAGTCTATATCGATAGTATTTATTGCGCATGCTCTCCAGATAGGAATATGAGATCACCGTTTGACATGACTTGTGAAATATGTCTAGCCTAGTTCTTCGAATCCCTTGTTATAAATGGCACTGAAACGTATTATGGCCTATGGTACACAATTTGTGTACCAATGGTAAAATGGGGTTTTTTTGTCTTGAATATTGGATATCAGAAGCCCATCTTTTCCCGGTAATATCACAACATCAATGTTGATTTAAATTGACAAGTAATTTGTATTTTCAATGTCAAAGACTTTGGATGATATTGAGTTAGATACTTAGTTACTTAAATACGTTGAACCTTTTTTGTTTAAAATGTAGATATTGAATGGGAATGCTTGTACTCGGGCCTGGAAATAACAGTTTTAGATGTACCTGACAAAATGTCAGACACCAATAAAATATTACCTGACATTTTCAACTTAGTGCCGGATATATGTATTAATAATATCAATAAAAAAGACAAATCCATTCCAAACAAAATGACAGGCACCAGACGTTTTGTGCCTGACAAAGCCTGAGCCTGTGTCTGACATTGTCTTGTGCCTTATTTCCAGGCTTACTTGTACTTGCCATAGACACTATTTCTCGTTATTATCACACCCCAAACAAAGTTAACAGAGGGATATTGAAATGGACTTCATCTGTCATTCCAAAAAATATCTCATAAACCTGTTCAATAAGCTTTCACGTAACTTATTAATATTAGTACAATGTAGTAAATTAGGTTTTTACTTGAGAATGACATGTGTTATCTTTTTGAAAGGTTGTAGTGTAATAAACATTGGGTCAATTCAAGTCCATGGTTACGCTTGTGTTAAGGTTGTGTTGTAGTGGTGTATAACTGATGTCGATGATTTAATTGTTATTAATATATTTAACAGGGCCTTTTGTTGATGTGGAGGTTGAAATGGTTACGCTTGTGTTAAGGTTGTGTTGTAGTGGTGTATAACTGATGTGGATGATTTAACTGTTATTGATATATTTAACAGGGCCTGTTGTTGATGTGGGGATTTAAATGTGTTATTGATATATTTAACAAAGCCTTTTGCTGATGTGGAGGTTTAAATGTGTTATTGATATATTTAACAGGTCCTGTTGTTGATGTGGAGATTTAAGTGTGTTATTGATATATTTAACAAAGCCTTTTGTTGATGTGGAGGTTTAAATGTGTTATTGATATATTTAACAGGTCCTGTTGTTGATGTGGAGATTTAAATGTGTTATTGATATATTTAACAGGGCCTGTTGTTGATATGCATGATTAAATATGTTATTAATATATTAATAGGGCAAGTTGTTGATATGGCGGTTTAAATATGTTATTAATATATTTAACAGGGCCTGTTTTTGATATGCATGATTAAATGTATTATTGATATATTTAACAGGGCCTTTTGTTGATGTGGAGGTTTAAATGTGTTATTGAGATATTTAGCCAGGCCTGTTGTTGCTATGAATGATTAAATATGTTATTAATATATTTAACAGGGCCTTTTGTTGATGTGGAGGTTTAAATGTGTTATTGATATATTTAACAGGACCTGTTTTTGATATGCATGATTAAATGTATTATTGATATATTTAACAGGGCCTGTTGTTGTTGTGGAGGTTTAAATGTGTTATTGATATATTTAACAGGGCCTGTTGTAGAAGTTGATGAAGCTGATGACAGTGTTAGTGACGAGGAAGAAGAGGAAGATGAACCCTCTACTCAACAAACTACCGAAGAAGTTGCTCTATCTCAACAAGAACAACCATCACCACAAACCTCAGAAGAATCAACACAGAAAACTTTAGGTTTGTCAAATATTAATCTAAGCTAAGTGACTTGCATCACCCAAGATATTTGAGGGATTTGTAAATCCTTGCAAACTACTGTGAAAGGTATTTCTCTAATATGAATAAAAGTCCGTTCAGTTTTTACAAAGATGTGCAATTGAAAATTTTGCAACATTCAACATCTTCTTTAGACGATATAAAATGAATTTGGTTAAATGGTCTTTTAACCAAATTCTGGAACTGTTTTTGATTTAAGACTGTTTCGTCTATCTGTACTAATATTTGTGAGTGTCATTTGTTTGTGTGTTCAAGGTTGCCGGCTACACTAGGGCTGTCCCGAGACTGTATAGGGGTAGCAGGGACCGGGAAGTAACATAGGCCTGGTGGCAATGGACTACCACTTGTGTCCATTTTAAAGCTGACTGATTAAATTTGATAATGAGGGTCCAGTTTAATTTACAAGCGTTTAATTTCTCAATCACTGTTAAAAAATAAACAACCCAACTGATTATTGATGTATAAAGATTAATTTTTGAACAGTGGTCAGGAAATAAAACACTTGTAAATTGGACACGTCACTCATTATCAAATTTAATCAATCAGCTTTAAACTGGACAAATTAGGTGATTTTTGGTTATTTGAAATAATTTTTACGAATTTTTAAACAAAGATTTGATACTGAATGAATGTGAAAGAAATTAGTGCTAAAAACACGAGATTAAACAATACCCGGGTTACAGTGTATGGAGATAGGAGTGTCTTTTCAACCTTGTGGGTTTACTCCCGTTTCCTCCCTCAGGAAAAACATGTAGCATGCGCTGAATTTACTAAAATAAAGTTTTCGTCACCAATTAAATTTCATTTCTGTATGCCAGTTATTCTGAAATATTGGGTCTTTAATTAATAGATGAGAATAAAGATTTGAAGGAAGAAGAACAAACGGAAACAAAAGAAGAAGAAATAAAAGATGAACAGAAGGTGGAAGTAGAGGATAATAAAACAGAAGAAAATCAAACACAGGAACCAAAAGTGGTAGAGACAGCAGAAACTCCACAGGACTCGGCAGATGCACAACAAGAAATAAAGCAGGAAGAACAGGAAGTCAAAGATGGAGAAACACAAGATGGAGAAGGCAAGGAAGCAGAAGGCAAAGAAGAAGAAGTCAAAGATGCAGAAGTAAAGGATGGAGAGGCTCAAGATGGAGAAGTCAAAGATGCAGAAGTCAAGGAAGAGGAAGTCAAAGAAGTAGCACCAGAACAAAAGGAGACAGCTGATTCAGAGAAAGAAAAAGGAGAGGCAGAAGAAACCGTTAAAGAAACAAATGAAACCAACAAAGTAACAGACGCAGGTATGTAAATATATCATATCTCATCTTTTTTTTCTCATTAGTGTTTCCAGAGAGGTGTTTTATTCTCAATTCTCATAGATTTTTCAATTTTGCCCAGGCTATCATTTCGAAATGTTGGCAGTGCCAGTATGACATTTTTGCAACTTATTTTGTTCACCAGAACAAAAATTGGTTAATCTGGCAAAATTAACCTCAAGTGAGATCCCTGTTTCTGGAATTAATGCTGTTGCTGAAGGCCAGACTCTCAGAATTGTTTGATGTTATCTCCTCTGTTGGGGGGTTGGATGGCCGAATGGTTACCAATGTGCATGCTGTATCATAAGGTCTGTCATTGAGTCAACTGGAGTGGTTTCGATTCTCTGGTTGTACGTGAAAAGGAGTAGGGTCGCCTGTCCAACTTTGTGGGTGTTCTCCGGGTCCTCCGGTTTCCTTCCACTGCTTAAGACCCCTACGTGCATGCAAATTATTGAAATAAAATTGAACCATATGTTACTTTTTGTTAGTCCCAAAAGTAGTGGAAATAGTCCTGAATTTTTATTCCCCGAAATAGCACACACACCCCCCTAATTCCAAGGAGACTGCACTGTAGAAAAAAGTGTATTATATTTGTCTCTTTATGCTGAAATTTTTTTACATATATTTTTATTTTATATATTAGCAGGAAGCGGAACTGACACAGTTAAACCCGTTAAACCCGTTAAACCTAAATCAGCATTGAAAGCGGAACGTGAAGAAGCAGCAGGTCAAACCGGAAGAATTTCTGTTACTTTTGCTGAAGGGACAGCTTTTGAGAGAGAAAAGACAGGTAACGTTTTTAGTCAAGCCTGTCCGAACGGAAAGTTGGACAAAAATTCCATTTCATTCATACTTAAACGAAGTACTCCAATATGGATATTTTATAGTGCTGACACGATATATCATTGAATCGATGTATTGTGATTCACCTTCTCACGAGGGGGGGTGGATGGCCGAATGGTTAGCACGTGCGTGCTGTATCATACGGCCTGTCATTGAGTCAACTGGCGTGGTTTCGAATCCCCGGTTGTACGTGACAAGGAGTAGAGTCGCCTGTCCAACCTCGTGGGTTTTCCCCGGGTCCTCTGGTTTCCTCCCACTAAAGACCCCTACACGCAAGTGAATTAATGAAATAAAATTAACCATATGTTAGTCCCGAAATGACCTAGTTTGTGTCGAGTGGACGTTAAACCCCATTTCTCTCTCTCTCCTTCTCACGATTCGCGTATTGAATCACGAGACGCTGAATCGATGTATCGTGATTCTTTTTTCATGTTTTTTTTTTTTGTTGTTGTTGCTTCACTAATTAACTTGTCACTCTTAATTATCCATGTCACACATTACCCATAGGTACACAAACACTCTTAAATTGTTTTCGTCCTTAGCTAAGTGAATACGATCCTGGCTCGCTACCCTGGAAGTCGCAGTTTCGAGCCCAGTGTTGGCAGAGAAAGTTCATTGGGTTTTTCCGGTGTGGTGCTGGACAGAGGGTCTGACATGGACAGTTGTCTAGTCGTTTGGGTGGTATGGAAGACCAAGGTCCCGTGTACACATTGGTATGCACGTAAAAGATATAAGAGTAAGTTGTAGCACCGCTCTCTCTCTCTCGGATACAATGTTTTAGATAATTGTTTTTTTTTATTTTTTCAGGAATTACACTAACAAGCAGAAGTCAATCCCAGATGTCAGCGTTTGATGAGAGTTCGCTCAATGTCTCACAGTTTGTCCAACTAACGGAAACATTTTTAGGTGACGAGCCAGTCAAGGACGTTTTTACTCGATTATTGAAATTTATTAAAGATGGTTATGAGGAAACCGAGGAAGAGAAAATGGAGAGATTGACAAAGGTAGGATTAATTGTTTAGGCCTATTTTCTTTTTTTCTAATTCAGATGGGGGGGTTGGGTGGCCGAATGGTTTAGCGAGTGCACATTAGATCATCAGAACTTCCCTCATAGCACATTGAATAGAATGGATTGAAATGAAATGGGGTTTTAACGTCCTACTGTTCTGCTCCTAAACTGGGCTAATTAAGATGGGCATTAGCCGTACAGTGTGCTTTGAGGGAAATTTTGCTCAGGCAGCGGCACTATGGCCTACTCTTATATCAAATTACAACTGCCAAGGGATCTTTCGCGTGCATGCCAATGTATACACGGGACCTCGTTTTTATTGTTCCATCCTAATGATTAGACAACTGTTCTTGTCAGGCTCTCTGTCCTGCACCACACCACTAATAAGGGGAAACCACCTTGGAAATTCCTGATGAACTTTCTCGGCCAATGCAGGGATCGAACATGCAACCTCCAGGCTAGTGAGCCAGCGTCTTACCTACTTAGCACATTGTATGGCGTATGCCCGTCTTCATTAGCCCAGTCAGAACAGAATAGTAGGACGTTAAACCCTATTTCATTTCATTTCATATATTTTGAGACATTTTTATATATATTTTGAGACATTGTTATATATATTTTGAGACATTGTTATACATTTTGAGACAGAATTTTGAGACATTGTTATATATTTTGTTATATATATTTTGAGCCACTGTTATAAATATTTAGAGACATTGTTATATATTTTGAGACATTGTTATTTATTTTGAGACATAATTATTATATATATTTTGAGACATATTTTGAGACATTGTTATATATATTTTGAGACATTGTTAATGTTATATATTTTGGGATATATTTTGAGACATATTTATATATTTTGAGACATTATTATATATTTTGAGATATTGTTATATTTAGGCTAGAAGAGAAGCTGTATCTGCTAAACGTAAATCAATGATAGATGTATTATTTGAGAAATGGGATAACGATGGATCAGGATATTTAGATCTAGAGGATGTAGAAGATGTCATGGTTAAATATAAAGATGGCCAGGAAGTGGAAGCTATATATTATGGTATGTATAGTAACACGATCAAATGGCTAAATCTATTTCTTAAGGCCAGTTCAAGTTTTGTCAAGGTTGCAGAGATGCAAATAAGGTTAGGGCATGTGGTTGTTGGCGAGATTGTAGGTACCTTACTCACTTAGCCACCTTGGTTCCTTATGATCAGAAAGAGGAATTTTACCAAATTTAAGAAGTTTAGCTCACAAAAATTTTTGAGTATGTAAATTACCAATCTATTTAGTTTTGTTTCTTTATAGTTCAAAATTTTCGTTTTATTTTTCTTCACATCACTAGGATTTGGAAGGGCTTTTACATAACATGCATTCTAGTTGATGTGAGGGCAAGTTCTTGGATACTGTGTATGGAACTTTGGGTAAACCACAAGAAACATCCACAGTGATTGATTAATCAATATCTGATGTCATAGGGTCAGAAGCCGCTTGTATGACCCCTGACACAACCTCCCACTATAACTGGTCAGATCTTCGTGTAGTGAGAGAGAGAAATGGGGTTTAACGTCCACTCGACACAAACTAGGTCATTTTGGGACTAACATATGGTTTAATTTTATTTCAATAATTCGCTTGCGCGTAGGGGTCTTTAGCAGTGGGAGGAAACCGGAGGACCCGGAGAAAACCCACGAGGTTGGACAGGCGACCCTACTCCTTGTCACGTACAACCGGGGTCTTTGTGTAGTAGAGGCCATTGAAAGTATAAAATATAGATCTGTATTTTAATTAGATTGATAAATTACAAAAGATTTTCATATTGTTATTTAAAACTTGATATCTTTGTAGCGAAGGAAGAAATGAAGAAGAAATCTCGGTTCCAGGATCAGAGATTGAGTAAACGAGAGTTCCGTATGTTAATCCAGCTGGTCGTACAGGAAATACCAGGATCAGAAACCTTCGATTCGTTGTTAGAATTTCTCACTAATAGTGTGGAGGTTGGTTTTCTTTATTTTACTTATTTATTTGAATTTGAAATATGAAAAATTATAATTTAGAAAAAAAAAAAAATTGGATGTTAAAAAATTGGAATCTAAAGGTCAAACATATAAGTCCCCCAGTAAGACTTTAAATAGATGGAAAACGTAGGTCTACAAATAGGCGTAATCAGCCTTTAAATTGTATCCTTCCACAGTAATAAAGATGCCATCAACAATCCGCCATCTTGGAACTAGTCTGACCATGTCTCTGGATTTGAAATCGATTTGCTGTTCAATGCTCATTGATGATTTAATCAAAAAATGGATAATCGAGAATATGTTTTTTATCGTACCGACTTTAGCAATGATGATCGAGACTAAGCCTAAAATTCAAACGCTAATATCTCGGTTCAGAGTGGAACAATTTGAATGAAATTTTCAGCATATTCCATTTAAATTATCTTGTTTTTAACTATTATAGCGAGAACTGCCAGCTCTTTATCTAATCTTCCATAATGTATCTGTAAGGCCATACACAAAAAATATTCTTGTTCTCAGACGATCCTTACCAAAAATTCCCTGGTTGTACGTGACAACCTCGTGGGTTTTCTCCGGGTCCTCCGGTTTCCTCCCACTGCTAAAGACTCCTACACGCAAGCAAATTATTGAAATAGAATTGAACCATGTGATATTCCAGAAATTGACTAGTTTGTGTCGAGTGGATGTTAAACCCCATTTCTCTCTCTCTCTTACCCAAAATTTAGCGGGTTAAATGGCCGAAAGGTTAGCGTGTGTGCGCTGTATCATAAGGTCTGTCATTGAGTCAAGTGGCGTGGTTTCGATTGCCCGATTGTACATGACAAGGAGTAGGGCTGACTGTCCAACCTTGTGGGTTTTCTCTGGGTCCTCCGGTTTCCTCCCACTGCTAAAGACCCCTACGCACAAGCGAATTATTGAAATAAAATTGAACCATATGTTAGTCCCAAAATGACCCCCCTCTCTCTCTCTCTCTCTCTCTCTCTCTCACTTACCAAAATTTGGTCCTGGAGTGAGGTTTTTATTTATTTGTTTTTATGGCCTAAGTATTTGTTTGTGCATTCTAGAGATCATATTCTGATCGTATCCGTGGTGAAGCCAGGAAGAAATGGTTACAACAGATAGTGACTGCTGCTGAAACAGGTGGCGCTAGTATGGAACCTGTTTATAGAGCTGTATTTCAAGCTCTTTATAAGGTTTGTTATTCTTCTTTGATTCTATTTTCTTATTGTACCAGGCTTGTTGTACGTGATATATAATTGATCCAGACTAGTAAAAACGTGGGGGGCTGGATGGTCGAATTGTCTAATGCATGCACTTAAGATCGTAAGGTCTTTAATTGAGTCAAGTGGCGTGGTTTCGAGCCCAAACTTGTATGTGTCAAGGAACAGTGTCACATGACCAACCTAGTAGGTGTTTTGTGGCTCCTCTGGTTTCCCCCTGCAGCTAAAGACCCCTACAAGCAAGCAAATTATTGAAATAAAATTAAACCATATGTTAGTCCCAAAATGACTTAGTTTGTTGGAGTGGACATTAAACCCAATTTCTCTCTTTTAGGATGCTGAAGCTCATGGTGGTGGAAAGAAAATCAGTGCAAATATTTCCATGTCGGAACGAAATGTTAAATTTCCACAAAGAGGCGAGACAGTTCTGCGATATGTTGCCGCTACACCCGAAGATGCAGATTACGTATTAGATAAAATACTATATAAGGATATGAAGGGAGTAAGTTTTGCTGCTCTAGAAAGCGGGAAACCTATTCATGTTCCTAGAGTTGGTAACCATGGTAACATTCACTTCTGGAATACACGCAGACGGCCTGAGGTAAATAAATTTAAATCTTAATAAACCTTTATTGATTATGTTGCAGGTAGTTCTGTATGAACTTGGGTTATTTTTACAGGAAAAATAGTGGTGGAAAAAAGGTCATGAAGAATAAACCACTTTTTATTGCAACTTAAAATCTGTTCGTACTACTATTGAGCGGAGATTTTTATATTTTCACTTACGTTAATTTCACATTTTGACTGTTATTGCTTGGAAAATACCTTTACCCGCAGGTTAAATCTAAAAATTGATAGGCCATAGCGCCACTGTCTGGGAAAAATTTCCCCTCATAGCACACTGCATGGCGTATGAGTGCCATTAGCCTAGTAGGTGCAGTAAATTAGATTGTAAACCCATTTCATTTCTCACTTTGTACATGTGTGAATTTACACTTTAGCAGATTTGTGTAGAAATTTTCAAACCATCATATTTGAAAATGTGAGCCACAGTGGCTAAGTGGGTAAGACACTGGCTCGCTAGCCTGGAGGTCGTGTGTTCGATACCTGCGTTGGCCGAGAAAGTTCATTGGGATTTCCAGCATGGTTTCCCTCCTTGTCAGTGGTGCAGGACGGTGGGCCTGACAAGGACAGCTGTCTAGTTGTTCGGATGGGACGAAAAACCGACGTCCCGTGTATACATTGGCATAGTTGGAATTCGATACAAGAATAGGCTGTAGTGCCGCTGCCCAGGCAAAATTTCCCTCTTAGTACACTGTATGCCATATGCCTGTCTTCATTAGCCCAGTCGTAGCAGAACAGTAGGACGTTAAACCCCATTTCATTTCATTTATTCAAAAATGCCTGTTGTGATCTGTACAGTCGATTCCCGTCAAATCAGAATATTAGATTGGTTTTATCAATTAATAAAGGTCGCTGAAGAGGTGCGAATTCCTCTTCAGATATTTATTGCATTGTTATGCACTAAAATTTATGTAATTGCAAATTCGTTCTCATTTTTTTTCAGGAACGTGAAGGATCATTTATTGTAATCCCATTAAAAGATAAAAGAAAGAGAGCATTTGGTTTATTAGGAATTGATACAATCGCTGATCCCCACACTAAAGCTATATTTATTACACACGAAATACAATTCTTTCAGGTAAGTTATTTAGCATGCATCATCATCATCATCCATCATCATTATCAGGGGGGATGGATAGCTAAATGGTTGTCAACTTGCATGGTTTTGATTCTACTGTTGCACGTGACAAGGAGTAGTGTCGCCTATCCAAACTCGTGGGTTTTCTCCAGGTCAACCGGTTTCCTCCCACTGTTATAAACCACTATGCACTAGAGAATTATTGAAATAAAATTGAACCATATGTTAGTCCCAAAATGACCTAGTTTGTGTTGAGTGGACTTAAACCCCATTTCTCTCTCTCTCATGCATCATAAGAATAAGAATATGTTGTACAGCTGGCATAGATAGTTGACAGATTGTTTTTTTCTTTAAAATTACTCATTTTCGGACATGGTTTCCCCTTATCAGTGGTGCAGGACGGAGTGCCTGACAAGGACAGCTTTCTAGTCGCTCGGATGGAACGAAAAAACAAGGTCTCGTGTATACATTGGCGTTAATGTAAGATCCCATGGCAGTTGGAATTCGATATAAGCATAGGCACACTGTATGGCATATGCCCGTCTTCATTAGCCCTGTAGGAGCAGAACAGTAGGACGTTAAAGCCCATTTCATTTCATTTCATATGATAAAATGAAAATATGATCTCTTTAAATCACTTAAGCAACAAACAGTTTGTAGGCAACCAGTAACGATGTCAAAATCACTGCAGGCATTTTGGTTCGGTGTCTATTTTCACTGTCTTGGGAAGCACCATTTTGTAAGATCACATGATATTTTAGCTTGCTCTGATTGGTCAATCAAAATATTTGTTATTTCAAAACTATGATACTTGTCAAAGGATTTTATATTTTTTTGTTTAATTCAGGGCATCGCTAAGGCTTTCAGTATTGCCTATCACCATGTTGACATGAGACGTAAACAAAACTATGATACTTGTCAAAGGATTTTTTTTTTTTTTTTTTAATTCAGGGTATCGCTAAGGCTTTCAGTATTGCCTACCACCATGTTGACATGAGACGTAAACAAAATTATGATACTTGTCAAAGGATTTTATATTTTTTTGTTTAATTCAGGGTATCGCTAAGGCTTTCAGTATTGCCTATCACCATGTTGACATGAGACGTAAACAAAATTATGATACTTGTCAAAGGATTTTATATTTTTTTGTTTAATTCAGTCTATCGCTAAGGCTTTCATATTGCCTACCACCATGTTGACATGAGACGTAAACAAAATTATGATACTTGTCAAAGGATTTTATATTTTTTTGTTTAATTCAGGGTATCGCTAAGGCTTTCAGTATTGCCTATCACCATGTTGACATGAGACGTAAACAAAATTATGATACTTGTCAAAGGATTTTATATTTTTTTGTTTAATTCAGGGTATCGCTAAGGCTTTCAGTATTGCCTATCACCATGTTGACATGAGACGTAAATTATTGCGTATAACTGAAAGTGCCGTATCATGGATACAGAGAAGAAGTCCCCATGTACGAGAAGTCGTGGAATATATGGCTGAACCGGACAGTAAAGGTATGGATTACGTGTTACGTAAGATGTTGACAACCGTACCGAAAGGACCACCAGAATATTGTGCAAAACCTCCACGATTAGAACGCAAGGACAATCTGTTTAGGTATGTTACATTTTAATTGGTTTTTTTTTTATATCCTTCCAAAATATGGTTCATCTTGTTTCATCTTTCTAGAAAACCGAATATCACTTCGACTGAGACAGTTTGACGAGAACATTTTTATTTGTGTTGTTTTTCATTTCTGTGATTATGTGTGCAGTGCTAGAGAGAAACTTTTGTCTGGACAAATGTGTTACAGCCTACTCTAACTCTTCTCAAATTTCCAACTGCCAAGGGATCTTTCCAAATGACAAGGAATCTTTTACGTGCATTTGTAGACACGACCTCAGTTGTTTGTCCAATCAGGGGAGGGGGGGGGGGGTCTGGCCTAGCTGAAATTCACTACCCTTGTCATTTAGGCTGACCAAGACTGTAGAATGTTTCAAATCTCAGCTTAAAACTCATCTTTTCAACCAGACTTCTTTAAAAGTGCAATACAAACTGCCATAAAGTATTTCTGTGCCATAGAAATTGAGAATTATTATTATCATTCTTCATGTTTTAATTTTTAGAGATTATCTTTTTAAATGTGTGGATAATTCTGAGACTGTAACAGCAGACGCATACGGTGAACGCCATCTTGCCTTCCCGTTACGTGATGACGATGGTAAAGCTATAGCGCTAGTAGACATCAGTATTGGCGACATGAAAAAACTTCCACCTCACGAAAACAAAGAAATACAGCGCATGTTGAGAATTTTACAAATGGCGCATAAAGAAATAACGAAGGAATTTAATGGAGCTGAGAAAATGAGGATTTTGGGTACGTATTGAGTTAAAGAAAGTTTGACAATTATAAAATGTCTTTCCAGACAAAACTAAAATTCATATTCCCAAAACTGTTCACTGGGAGCTAAAACAGATATTATTGACCATATTTGGTAATAACCGAGGGCTATGGTAGTTGAACGATCAGGTCACTAGACTCTCGACAAAACTAAATCCCATATTGCCAAACAAGTATCACTGCAGGCTCAGGACTGCACAACACAATGGATGGTTGTAGCTGCCCCACCGATCCATTCACTTGATTCTACGGCGGGCTACTTGCAGTCTGTGTGTGATGTGTCTTATCTAGGGTGTTGTCTTTCCACTTATTACGGTGTCTGGATGGCCGAATGGTATCCTAATATCTGTCATTGAGTCAACTGGCGTGGTTTTGATTCCCCGGTTGTACGTGACAAGGAGTAGGATCGCCTGTCCAACCTCGTGGGTTTTTGTGTCTAGTGGATGTTAAACCCCATCTCTCTCTCTATCTCTTTCTATCTTTCTGTCTCTCTTATCTTGGGTGAAGTCTCTATCACCGAACGCTTACAGCCACCGCCCCCTCGATCAATTCACTTGATTAGACAGTCCTTTTATTGTTTATTGCTTTAAATGTCTGTGTACCGTAAAAAAAAAATAGACTCTCCCTGTCTGGTATAAGCAATCTTTATAAAGATGTTTTATATTTTAGAGGGAGAACAGGATGATGAAGCTAGAACTGATATAATGTTCGATCGTTTGATGTTGATGGAACTCAGAGATAACGTGTCGAAATTAGATCAACAAGCATACGCTGAGTTGAGAAGTTATAAAGATCCTCCGCAAATAATCTGTGATATTCTTAAAGCAACGTTAGCCATTTTCTTCTTGGATAAAGCAGAAGAAGGTGAATTTGATGACTGGATACGGATTAAAACAGTAAGTTTAAAGATTTAAATAAATGAAGAGCCCCAGGGGAAGAACGATCTAAGTCACTTTTTCAACGAACCCTACTAGTAGCAAATTGTATAAGCTTTCTGTGGAACAATCAATTTCAGGTAAAAACATTGAACCAAGGCCCTTGTGAAATGGCCTCCCGGACAAATACGTCCATCGTGCCCTTTATTTGACCTTAATTTGGCTGAAAAGTGGAAGTCAGTTGTTGTACTGGTAATTATGATTTGTATTAAACATCATTTGAAGTTGTAATTAAACCTACTCGTTGTTCTGTTCGCGTCAAGCATTCTCGTCCAAAGTCTGTTTTGCCTTTTATGCAAAAAGACAAAAATGTGACTTAGATCGTTCTTCCCCATCGACTCCTCAAATATAACCCTTTAGCAATTGGTACAGGTAACAATTGCCGATCCCTGTTCCCAGAAAAAATATAAAAAAGATTTGTTTTGTTGTAGCTCATTTTCAAAACAGCACGAAACTGCCGCTCCCTAGACCAGCTCAAACCGCAAGAATCACCATTCTAGGATTCATTCCTTAAATAGTTTGCATCTTTTCGTTAGACTCTGGTAGTTGGAATCGCTAGAAGGAGCAATAGTTTTGTTATGTTTGGGATTGTCTGAGGAACAAAATATATTTTTGCGTACAACCCTACCCTTTCTTAATACTTGATACACCTTTTCATTGTACTTGTGTATCCATATCTGTAAATAGAGGGTGAGAGAAATGGGGTGTAAAACCCACTTGATACAACCCCCCCCCCCCCATTTGTAAATGGAGAGAGAGAGAGAGTGTTTTAAAGTAAACTCAACATGCCCCTCCTATCTGTTAATGTAGAGAGAGAATTGAGTATTAATGGATACAAATCACCCTCTGGAAATGAAGAGAGAGAAATTTTACATCCATTTGACAAATCTTTAAATGAAGTGAGAGAGAGAAACAGTGTTTCACCCCACCCCGTTCATCTATATTTATAATAGAAGTATTGTTTAATAATGAGAGAGAGAGAGAGGGAGGGGGTTTAACGTCCACTCGACACAAACTAGGTCATTTCGGGACTAACATATGGTTCAATTTTATTTCCATAATTCGCTTGCGCGTAAGTGTCTTTAGCAGTGGGAGGAAACCAGAGTACCCGAAGAAAACCCAGGAGGTTGGACAGACGACCCTACTCCTTGTCACGTACAACCAGGGAATCGAAACTACGCCAGTTGACTTAATGACAGACTTTCAACTGCCCATGTTGTTTAATGATGATGTATTTTGTATTTCAGTATATTAATATAGATTTAAGTCAGAAGATAACAGCGTATGATCCAACAGCACAGAAAGATCTTAATCTACCTGCTGATAAAATAGAATTATATATGAAAGGTAAAACACTCACTTAAAGTCCATGATCGCCATTTGAGGGATTTTTTACTCCCTCGCAAACTATGATATTGTGAAATTGAATCTCTAATTGATTACTGTCAAGCCTCATTATAACAAAGGTCAAAGGTCAATGCTTAACCATCATGACATCATTTTACACTCCGCAAACCTCAGCAGATTCCAGTACCCTACATCTAACCTCGGCTGTATGACGAAGTCCGCCATTGGAACTACTTAAACTACTTTCAAGTTCCTGGATTACCAACGATGTTGCCCATGACGACACCTTTGATTAATGTTTTATCATACAAATATTTCAAAGTCTGAAGCTGTTTTTCATACAAGTTTATCTGATTTTCTTCAAACAAGGACAACTTAGCACTGAAAATTCTAAACTTCTTTTGATAACTTCTTTTTAAAAGCGGCAAGTTTTCCTAATAAGTAAACCGGTGCTGCATCGCAATTGTATAGGTGTAGGTACATATCACTTACCGTCATACAGCCGAGGCTAGATGTAGAGTAACGGAATCAGCCGAGGTTTGCAGAGTGATCATTTTATAATCTTAAGTCGCTGATAGCCATTTCAGAGATTTAGAATCCCTAGTAAACTATTGAGAAAGTTGAATCTCTAAACACTGTTAAGCTGATATCGTTGACTTATGAACCTAGACCTTTTAGTAATGAAAATTTTTGTCATTAAATCATACAAGTGATGTTTAGTATGTATAGATGACTTTGATCTATTTTGTTTATAAGTAAATTATATCAGCTTAATACAGTTTAAAGGAATATCAGTCCACAAATGGTTCAATTCCGTTTACAAAAAAATGATGAATTGAAAATTTCGCAACCTTCTACATCATCTGCTGAAGAAAAAAAGAAGCCCCTTGGTAGTTGTAATTCAATATAAAAGTAGGCAGTAGCACCACTGCCCGTGCAAAATTTCCCTCATAGCAGACTGTATGGCGTATACTCATCTTCATTAGCCCAGTAGAAGCAAAACAGTAGGATGTTAAACCCCATTTCATTTACGGTCATCTCTTCAGTCAAATTATATACTACTTTTCAAAACTCCAAAAGAAAACATAATAAACGATAAATCATTTCTACATATTTTATTGAATAATCGCTCAATGTTTTTGGTATAGTTTCTTTTGAACATCAGTATGGAAGAATTTAATGGAAAAAGAAACCTATCCATTCATTTTATATGAGTCATGACCATATTCAGATTGTCTCACCCAAAAACTAGACCAGGTTACTTCCCTTGATGCATTTGTTTTTTTCAATTATCTCCCTTGACACATTATTTTGCTCTTAAACCACATTAGAGAGAGAGAAATGGGGTTTAACGTCCACTCAACACAAACTAGGTCATTTCGGGACTAACATATGGTTTAATCTTTTTATTTCAATAATTCGCTTGCGCTTAGGGGTCTTTAGCAGTGGGAGGAAACCGGAGGACCCGGAGAAAACCCACGAGGTTGGACAGGCGACCCTACTCCTTGTCAAACCACATTAGAAAGCAAACTCTTGTGAAAGGTTTGAAAATAGTTTGATATGACTGATTTATTAATTTTTAGACTT